CTGAATTCGATTCTTAACGAAAAACATGGTTTCATCGAAAAAACTGCGTGGAGCTGAAAGAGAAAACGTAGAAGATGCTTTGTTAAGATGGTTCGAAATCTTGTTCAAAATGTAAAAATCTTGCATTCTTTGCACATTGTAGATAAGAAAATTGATGAACTCAATTTAAAATCAAATTGTGTTCAATCAAAAATCACAAATTTTTTTCATAAAAAGTGAAAATAAAACTAATATTTAGCGACGTAATTACTTTTTCCATCAATTTTTGCTTTATTATCTGTTAATTAGTTAATAATTTTTTAAATAACTTATGCAAAATTGCAAAGCCAATTTTCAATCATTCAACTGTCTTATGCAAAAAATATTCTTCAAAAAATTTGGATATAGTGAACCATCGGTTATAGTGGACACATTACTGAGTCCGCAGACGGTTCACTATAGCGGGGTTCGACTGTATAATGAATATTATTTCCTGAAGCCAATATGTAGCCTAGGTCCCCTTGACAAGAAAGTCCTTGTCAGTGCATCCTTGACTACATTGCACAAACTATATTGATAACATTGCGCATTGATAACTTGATTACATTGCACGAACTAACTTGGCTATTAAGGTTTTTCTAGTTTTGTTCCTCCTCTTTGTTTCCCATTTTTCATTAGCAACTTTGCATTTTATATTTCAAATCACTTGTTTCTTCTCATTTCTGGCAAATCTTGAAAATGGGTGCCAATTTTTGAGTGCTTGAAACTTGTCAACTGCTTCCAATCTGTGTATTTTTGAAGCGAATGAAGTTTTTTTATAAAGTAATATCTTGCCACTTCAGTTTCTTGGGAATATTTATTTAATTGTCATCTATTTATATGTGTTGTATATATACACTGCTGCTGCCATAAAAATGTCTAAATGGGTCAAAATGCCCTTTTTTCTTCTTTTTTTTTCTTCAGTTTTGTGCTAGTGTTGCTTTTTTTGTGGTTCCTAAGCACTAATTTCTGGGTTTCTTATTTACCCAACAAAAAGTGCAATTGCGCATATATTGTGCACAAATTGCTATGTAGTTTATTTTTCTTAGGCATTTAAAATATTATCCCAATCAAACATTAATTTGCTTGTTTAACTGTTACCTGTTTTTGCTCTTATGAGTTATGATATTTTGTGACCCTGTTTTTTGAAGTTATATTACGTTCCAGTTTAGTCCTTTCATGTCCTTGTTTTTTTTTACACATTATTTTGCCTCTATGCCTTTCCTGCATGCTAGCAAAGAGAGATTTAAAAATCAAATAGCATTAAAACTGGTAATCAGCTAATATGCAGCTAATGGGTTAGTTGTACTATAGTTACACTTAGGACATCACCTCCACATTTTTATCTTAAAGTGTGGTGTGTTGGTACAAATGTTTTGTGTGGAGAAGTATCAGTACCAATTTTAATATGGATTTATTCTAGAAGATGGGATAAAATGATTATCAAAGCGGCTAATGGTGGTCAAAATAGAGTGCTCCTGGTGGATTTTGTGGAGATTCAATATACAAAGCTGGATGTTTTTGCAGTTTTTTTCATTTGCTATCTGATTTTTCTGCTGGTAGTGGCCAGCCTAATGGAGTATTTCTTCTAGATTTACAATGATAGATTAATTGTTCTGTAACTACACTAATGGACTAGTTGTTTTAGAGCCATGCAAAATGAACTAATACTTACCTGAAGTCTATAATGAGCTTCAGGTAATTAGAAATTTTTTATTTGGAATAGATGTAGGCATTCTTATGCTCAGTACAAGAAGGATGTATGGAGTTTCATATTATCTGAATATTTTCTAGCAAATTACTCTTCTTTTATAATGCTTTGTTTTATCTTAGATGTATACATTACATGTCATATATTAGGGGAGTTCTTAGGTTTCTTAAATAGACATCATATTTTACAATTGTAAATAAATATACATCAATAACAATATTAACCAAGTTTATGTAACTTTTGTGAAAATCTAAACTGTCGTTGAAGTCTAATTTAAATCCTCGTCATACAATATTAACATAAAAAGTTGAAAGGGGATCTCAATCTTTCAAAATGTTCCCTCATCTGTCTTTGAAGTAAGGCAAGTTTTTTACTTGCAACCGTAATATTTTGAGAAATGGATGATTTTTCATTCAATAACCTGTTTCTGCCATTAGCCTAAAACATCAGGGCTCTCACGGGTCAGGGAAAACATGATATTGTCAGGGAATTATATTTTAACTCTTAAAAAGCAGGAAAAGTTGTAATTTTTTGCAAAAACCTGGAAAATTCCTATATCATACCTGGAAAATAACCAGTCTTAGCTAGTAACAGTAATCAATTATTGCAATTTAAGCAATTATTTTATAAAATTTCACTTTTTTAGAGAAACTTTTCCATGTTACCTTTCTCATTCTATTATATGTTTTTGCTCACAAAATCTGACATTGCAAATTTAAAAAAATCAAAGTTTTGGGATGAAAAATTGCACAGTATAGATTAAATATGGTATGGATTTTTGTTGCGATTTGCCTGATATGCCTGGAAAAGTCAGGGAAGTTTTTTTTTCTGTAATTGAGTGGAAAGCCTGATCATGTGTACATAGAAAAATCCACTCATTCCAGTCATTATGTAATTAATATTATACAGTGTGAATTGACTTAATACATGCAATGTAATAGTTCAGTTAAATCAAGCGGTATGTGATGTGAATCATACAGTATGAAAAATTTTGTTAAATCATACAACCCTATTTAATTTTGCCCATTTCCACTGCAATAGAAATTTAATGTATTACTATAGCATATTCTTTACATGTAAGGTGAAAAAGCATTTATTTTGATATAAAATCATTTTTCTACATAAATTTGAAATGATTTGTCAATAACTCCTTGTGTAACTTCTTTAAATATATGTTTATGTTTCAAATCTTCTTTTAATTCATTTTTTTACTCTTTATGTTTTTGGAAAATTTTAACTTTTGAAACTATTTTTATTTCTCTTTCATCTGTAAATAAAGTATTATGTTTTCAGGCTCTAGTGTGGAATAGTAGCAACGGTGAGTGCATAGATAAACTTCGAACAGAGTCTCCAGTCTTAGACCTTGCAGAGTTAAAAATGAATCAAAAATCTTATTTGTTAGCTCTAACTGAAAAAACTTTAAAAGTTTATGGCTGGAATTGTTCATGAAAATTATTTTACTTAGTGATTATGAAAAATAAGTTTATTTTTTTATGTATTTATGTCTTTACTAGTTAAATTCTTATGCAATTGATAATGCTCAAAGCTAATTTGCATGCTTTTATGCAATATTCCTCATTTTCTATACATTTAGGTATCAACGTTTTTTAATCTGTACATTTTGTAAATATACATCTAAATTGTAAATAAAATTCTCGACTATTTTTGTAATTCAGAAAAGATATTTAGTTTGTGTCCTTTCTTACATAAAGTAATGTTCGTTAATTTTTATTCAGCTTTATACAATTGTTTTAAATTCTGAAACTATTGAATACTTTTTTTTTACTTTAGATAATTTTAAATAAAAATTATGAAATTGTTCATCAGTTATATTCCATCCTAAACTATACTTATGATGAGTTTACCTATTACTCTTAAATTATTTAGATTTCGCTACAGAGTTCCCGTGAAATTTTCCATTTTGAGAAACAAAAAGTCAAGGAACAATAAATTTTCACCCGATACCTGGAAAAATGATGCAACAAAAAGTTTATGATGTTCAAAGTAGTTAAGCATAATATTCACTTTTAAGTTCTTGTAATAAACATGGTTAAATTCTATATTTAACATGTCTGAATTTATTATAATTATAATTAGGTGTATGAAATATTCTTAGTTAGAGAGTTTTTTCTTTCTTCAATAATACTATTCATAAGGATGATAATTGTTTTTAAAAGCTAAGCTTTCTGTATAAATTAATTTGAGCTCTTTATCACTATTAAATATATGATTAGTATGACTCTTGTGTTAATGACTTGTTTTTCGTTAAGATTTTGAAATTTACTGATTTTTGTATTATATGCAGGGTTTGTACTAACTGGGATTATCGGGAAAACCTCAATCGTTAGGGAAAACAAGATTTGAAAAGGAAAAAAAGAAGTCAGGGGAAAATGTAATCCCCCCCCAAAAAAAAACCCAGAAATTATCAGCGAATTTGACATTCTATCAAATTGCAGGATTTTACCCTTCTATTTTCAAAACCGAACTCAAATTTTTGTTCCAAACCAACCGATATTAGGTGCTTCCTCAAGATTCTTCTATCATTCTTAAGCATTTCAGGAGTGATGTTATTTGGATGTCTGAGTTAAGGAACTTGAAACTTCTGCCCTGTGACTTTTTAATTTTTTTTTCTTAATTTTTGTTATCCTTGTTTCTTAATTTTTGTTATCCTTGTTTCTTAATTTTTGTTATCCTTGATTAAATTTAAAAAAAACATTATTTTTTAATTAAATGAATTCTAATTCTTCAGAGGTGCAGTATCGTTTGCAAGTTTTGCCTGATGTGGAATCACATCAGCCTTGGCTAAAAATTGTCTGCTTTCATAAAGAAATAAAAGAAAATTGTTTATTAATGTAAGAGCATACAATTATTTATTACCATTTTTTTATGAAGCAGATGGCAGCTTTCTCTTTTTACTAGTGATACTTTTCTAATTCCACTTCGTTTTGCAGGGCTTTTTTTCGTTCACAATAAATTTTGTACTCAAATTAGTTCTTGTACATGGATTTACAGACAAAGGTTTTTTTTTCTCATTCAGTTGATTTCATTATTTCCTACCATGTCCTGGGTTTTGATATGCTATAGCTTCTTTAACTATAATTTCTGTTTGGTAATTTTGAAGTGTTTTTATTTAATTTGATTAATAATTTTTTTTTGTTTTTTATCATTTTCTTTTTTTTAATTTATAATTAGGTATGAAATACATTGTGTTTTTTTTTCATTAATTTTATTTTATAATCTATAGTTTAGTGATTTTAATAAATTTTTACTTTATTATATATTTGTTGTTATTTAGTTAATCATAATTTGGCTTAATTTCACTTAAATGCATATCTTCTATAAACTTATTTATTAGTTTCTTCCTGTGTTGATTTTGCATTTATGATTAAAATAAATTTTTTTATTTCTCGGTTTTACCATCATAATTTGTATTTTTTTTATTTTATTTATTTATCCATCTTGTTAATGGTTCCTTTTTTTTTAAATAGAAAATCTTAACATGTTTTATAATTATTTTTCTTTTGTTTCTAAAAAACGTTTGTCAGTTATATGATTATCAGTTATATGTTTATCGTAATATGATCTAATTTCCATTAAATACAGATTATTATATTATTGTTCTTCAATATTGTTAATATTATTGTTCTTCAATTTTATTAATTAATAAGTTATCCTTTAATTTTTTGTTTTCATGCAGCTTTGTTTTATTTTTTTTTTGGATAATTTTATTATTTATTTTATAAAGGTTACAAATATTATGTTTTTATTGTTTATTTATTAGTTTTATTTTTTTTAATTGTCTTCTTAAAACATTGTTTTTTTTGGTCAATAATTCTATTTTATTTAATGATATATGTATTGTTTATGTATACAGGGCTTCAAGTGCTGCGCATTTTGTGCCAAATTGGTATATTTGTGCAAAAACTGCATTTTATACTATACAGTTATTTTATACTATAAACTATACAGTATAGTTTCTTTTTAGGATGGTTTGATATTTAGTGATAAATTTTTTTATTATTTTTATTTATTTATTTTTAACTCTCTTATTTTAAATAAGTATTACTCAATTAAGTTTTACAGTTTTATTGTTGCTTATTTTTCTTATACATAGTATTTTAATCTATAATATATTAGGTTTTAATTGTTAATTGTGTTATTATTTTCAAAAAAATGCTTTTAAATTGATTAAATAGATTTTAGCTTTGATTATACATAGATTAATTGTATTATTATTAATTTTTTTTTGCATCAACTTCATAGTTATTTGTAAAATATTGCTTTAAAAAAAATATTTCGTAGTTAATTCCTTTAGTCTTATTTTTCTTTTCAGTCAAATTTATTGTTCTGACAATTTATTATTTCTAATCAGAGTTGACATAATTGAACTCACCTGATTTTTTTTTTTTTTTTTGAAAATAAAATTACCTTATAAATGTTTACTTAGAGTAGCGATTTTATTTATAATTCTAATTTACATTTTTATTTGATTGATTTTTTTATAAAATATAAAATCTATTAATTTTACATAAATCTACCTGGAATAGTCAGAGAATTTTTCCTTTTTCAGTATGAACCCTGTATATATTGCTCTTATTTTTAACTTTTATGCTTGTGTGTTAGAAAGTCCATATGTTAAACCTCTCCCTAATTTAAATTTGCTTAATTTTGTTGCTTACAAAATGTATGATTTGGGATTTTTTTTTATTAATAAGTAAGTTTCTCGGCTTAAACAGAAAGAAATAGTTTCTGATGGAATATTTCCCTGTTGAACAAAAATGTCAACTAAAGTTTTGGTGACATTTTATAAGGTCATTTTTAAATTGAGTATAAACACTATTTGAAATATTTATCCGCAGAAAACCATAGTAGGCTCTTGTCCATCCGTTTTGTTCTGTACTAGAAACAATTCATGGTGATTAAATATTACTTATCTTTACACATTAAATAGATTTTGTTAAATAGTGTAGTTAATTTTTTTAAATTAAAACAACTAAGCTCTATATCAAATATTTACAATTAAATCTATCAATAATGATTATTTTCTGCCTAAATATATTTTATTCTATGCAACATCCTAAGAAAGTATAAACTAAGCAAAACATACTTTTTTGATGTTTTTATCATATATTCTATTCCATATTGCTCTGCACTGTTACAGTGTTTTTAGAAAAATTTCTGCTAATAAAGACTCATTTTATTTGACTTATTTCTTTGAACTTATAATGTTTTAATTTAATGAAAACAGTACAATAATCTGAAAAAAATTCTGTTTATTAGAAGGAGCAAATTTATACTCTTGTTCATCACTGTTATAAGATAACCTAAATATTTAAAGTGCAGTAATGTAGTTTTTATTAGATATATTACAATTTAATATTAATGTTTCAAAAAAAATATTCACAAAATTCTTTTTTGTATGTAAGTTAATATTAAATTTACAAAAAAATAATTTTGTTCCATGTGATATTTGCAATCAGAAATTTCTGTATTTATAATTGGTATTAGAAGATATAACTATTTTAAGAATAAAATGTAACTTACATCATTATTGACAAGCTTTTAATGATCAAGTTACGAGAAGATATTAATTCATTATTTTATTTTTCTCCTTTATCATACTGTTTAAAATATCTTAATGAACTGCTCTAAAACATAATAAATTAAAGAGTTCAGTGAAATAACATATTAAATCTGCATAAATAATTTAAAAATTCGGAATTAATTTTTTTAAGAAACAAATGTAATGAATTGATGAGGTTAGTAAAAGATTATGTGTAACATTTTAATGACTCTCAAGTTACTGTATTTATAAAAGTGTTATGGAAGGATATTACTTTAGAAAAATATGTTTTTAAGTAAGACAATTTGCAATTAAAAAAGAAATTTTGTAATGATTTTTTGTAGATTCTCAAGCAGATTTTCACGAATTTCTAAAACCTTAATTTAATACGTTTCCTCACTAAGCTCTGTAATCAATTGATACTAATACTAAAAAAAACACTATTTAAAAAATTTCTATACAATATTGAATTTTAAGAATTTAATGAGAGAACATGTTGAGTAGCATTTTGAAGAATTAGCCCCTTAACGATCAGTTAATTTTCAAGAAAACGGTGATAAAAGTGCCTATTTTTTTGGCTTTTGTATTTGTATTACGTATTTGCTTAGTGCTGCAATTAGTTTAAAATAAACTATCTGCAATGAACTTAAAAATGTCCTGGTACTGCCATCAGGTGTGTAAAATGAGAAATAAAATGTTTTCCGGGCAAAAGAAATGAATTAGTTTTATTCTTATTGGCGTGTTACTACCGAACACTCCAGCCTGTCAATATCACAGGAACGAGAAATAGCGGGCGAAATCGCACTCAGTCATTTTCACGGGAGCAAGAAGGAAGGGGTTGAGGATTTTGGATTATAGGACATTTTATGTTAAATACGGAAATAATTTTTTATGAAGTTGAAAATTTACAATTTCAGTAGAGTAAGTTTGCAATTACAGTAAACTTTAAATAAAAAAATTGTTAATAGAATACCAATATTCCTATATATTCTAAAGATGATTTTTACAAATTGAAAAAATGTTAACTTGTTCCACCAAAGGTCTTGAATTGGTTTGATATTGATGTTATTTAGGCTGTATTGACATTGTTACATTTCTAAATAAAAAAAACAGTAGTGTTTTATTTACATTTTATTTAAAACCAGTATCAAATACAATCCAGTGTGCATAACCATTATTGGTCCATTTAGAAATGAGCACAAAAATACAACTCAAATTACAAGAAAATAAATATTTTACACAGTATTTAACATTACAAATAAATAACTAGTTGAAACTCTTCATCCCTTCTTACATGTATAAAATAAATATTTCTCAAGATATTGAGGTTAAACAAGAAACTTACAGAAAACATTTTGTTCCTTGAAATTCAGAACATAAACACTAAATGCAGATTAAATGCAATGATAAAGGGTTTCGTATTATTCACCTCATATTTTTTATATGGTTATTTCTTTAATAAAATTAACTATAAACGCCTACATTTGTCAATTTGCCATAAAAGTTTATTACTTTGAAAAATTATTCCTGTATTTATTAGGGTAATAATATTTTGTTATTCAAAATGTTATTAGCATAATAAATTCTGAAGAATTAAGTATTTGTTACAGTATGGAGATTCACTTCTTTGAACTCTATTTAGTTCAAAATAGTTTAAAAAAATTAATTGCACTGATAAATATGATATTCATCATATATTTTGAAACAATTTTATTTCTGCTGTAGAATTATTTAATATTTTGCATTTAGCAAAAGAAAATTTATTTTTTGTTGCAAAATATTACTTTTCTGATCAAATTATCCCAAAATTTATCAAGGTAATATTTTGATATTAAAAAAAAAAAAAAAATCCTCAGGTTTAAAAGTGTAAAGTTATAAAGTTAAGAAGCATTTTTTAGTCTTTTTAAAATTAAACATATAAATTAGAATTATTCTTTCTTTGTTATTCTCATTTATTTAAAATGTTATCTGATCAATTTCTGATCTTTTTTTTCATGTAACTGCTATGTAGATTTTATCAGTGTTAAAAACATTTATTTTCATTATGATTATTGATTTAAAAGAAACTTCAATTTTACAATTAATTTATTATTTTTATTTTTTATAAAATTAATGTAAAATGTGTATTAAAAAATTTAATTTTAGAAAATATTGGCTAGATAATTTTATATATTCAGTTGCATTTAGGAAAAAAATGTTAGTTATTATAACTTAGAACATTTCAAGTTCAGTTAATTTTGTATGTCTCTAAGTTTTATTTAAAATGTTTTCTGTTAAATAGCAAACTAATAATGTTAAATTTAAAAATATTATGAACTAAACCTAATATGTTTGAAATTGCTATTGTCTAGCTTTTTGAAAAATAAAAATTCTACATAGAATTTCACATAGCTATTGATCATTACCTTACATAAATTTTAGCATTAGTNGGAGTATTTCTTTCCTTTCTGATGAACAAGAAAAGTATCTTTAGAATATAATTCTCATAAAAAAATTTTTTTGCTTTAGTATTTTTTTCAGCTATTTTATTGTTTCAACTCTTTCCTTACTCTGTTTTTTAAGTTTAAAATCTATAAATATGAAGATGAAGAGTTTTGGTTATACCTATTTTGAATAATGTTATTATAATGCTTTTTTAAATTTATTGTTGTGATTTTGTTGGAGAAAATAGCAACTTCGTTAAGTCATGAAAAATTCTTGGAATTAGTCATGAATTTGAAAATCTAAAATGTAGCAGATACCCTGTATTTTGTTATTCAAAATGTTATTAGCATAATAAATTCTGAAGAATTAAGTATTTGTTACAGTATGGAGATTCACTTCTTTGAACTCTATTTAGTTCAAAATAGTTTAAAAAAATTAATTGCACTGATAAATATGATATTCATCATATATTTTGAAACAATTTTATTTCTGAAATGTTAGTTATTATAACTTAGAACATTTCAAGTTCAGTTAATTTTGTATGTCTCTAAGTTTTATTTAAAATGTTTTCTCTTAAATAGCAAACTGATAATGTTAAATTTAAAAATATTATGAACTAAACCTAATATGTTTGAAATTGCTATTGTCTAGCTTTTTGAAAAATAAAAATTCTACATAGCTATTGATCATTACTTTACATAAATTTTAGCATTAGTATAATCTATTTTTCATACGAAAAGAATTTCTATTTGTTTACAGATGTTTAATTATCTGCTAACTATTTTTTAAACTAATTAAATATTTTGTTTGTTCGATTCTTAAGACTTGTTTGTAAAATTTATGAAATTATTAAAACTAATCAAATTAATTATTAATTTGATTCATATAATTGATATTTGAAAAAAACTAAGACTTATGAATGGACCCCTATCCTTTTATATTCTTTTCACCCATCACTATTTTATTAGTTAAACTTTAAAATGTTCGAATATTTTGTTACATTCGAAGAGGAAATTTACTATTAGAACACCTAAAAATAGTGCATAAAACATGCAAGATATTTATGTGTTCATTTAAATCAACTTGGTGTAGTGAATATTTCCTCTAAAATATGCTTAAGAAACTTACATTATTTTCTTTTCATATAAAAATTATCCAGCAGGGTATAAAATTCCTACATTTCATGGAATTGAGAAAAATTCCACTGTATATCGCTGAAATTCCATTAGGCTGTTTTCTGTCAATCGTGTAACTTTAAAATACAGTAAACTCTCTTTAAGACGGAATCAATAAGTACAAAAAAAAAATTCTATTTTAGACAGTTATCTGTTTTAAGCAAATACATTTTTACGAAATATAAAGATTAGGATGCTTATCACTCTAAAATAATAACTATTTATAAAACTTGAAAATAAACTGTAAAATAGAAACTATAAAAAAGAATAATTTTAATCTTTCTTATTATTAAATTAAACAATTTAATTCCAATTTATATAGGGTATAAGTAATGTTTCCATTTAGGAGAATAAGCTCATAATCAATGTGTTTTCAACACATCTTATTGTTGCACTGAGTTTAACAGTTAGACATTGTAATATGTATATTATGAACAATTTTTTGTCATTTCAAGCCACTTAACATCTTTTTAAGTGTATAGTTAACTTTTTTTGTTCCCATCAACTAAGTGTAGAATATCATTGGATTTCTGTTTTACTTGTCTTCCTATTCATTACAATTGTATTGCTGAATAAATGCACTTACCCAAATATTCAATTGATCAGCACAGTTTGCATCATCAGTGTTTTAAATAAATAAACATTCATGTAAAATAAAGATTATGGCACAAATCGGAGAAACGTTTCTGTCAGTGATTAAATTTCAAAACTTCTATATCAAATTTAGATTTCGCCCTTTGGGGATTAGTCAGGACCGTTTTTATTCCATTATTTTCCCGGATTAAGAATTTGTTTTGCACAGTGTCCGTCTTAGACAGAGTTTACTGTATAAGAGTTATTTAAACCAAGTTTAAGTTCAGTCATTTTATTTGCTAAGTGTACATCAACTGCAATTTCGCTTTATAAATTTATTCAGTTAAAAAATGGACTGAACTGGTTGGTTATTGAAAAAGTATTTAAAAAAGGCAGGAGAATTTTGTTGGCAGAATTAGCATAAATGTTTTTTTATTTTCTCATTATTGTTTTGCTTGTTGTTGTTTTTCAATGTAAAGTGATGTAAATATGAAATATAAATCAGGATTTTACAATAAAAACTTAGTTTGAAATTAGGAATTAAAATTATTTAAAATTTTCCTCTTCTCTTAGGGAAAGTCAAATTATAAAACAATTGTGAAAAATGAGACTAGATTACTCTTATTGCTGCATACCAATTTAATATTCTGGAATATACAGCCATAGGTTCAAACCTTCTGCAATTACAAACAAACTTTACTTTCAAACTTTGGTTGAGAACTGATAAATTAAGTTGAAATTCTAGAACGATTTTTACATTAGGAATCTAATACTGATAGTTTTCATTGTAAAAAATACTATATTTTTCGTTACAAAAGTAATCATATTTAATAAAACAAGAAAATTCAAATTTAGTATCTTGTCCCAAATTGTAAGCAATCATAGTTAGATGCAAAGATTGTGTAAAATCCTAAATTTTGTTTTAGAGTTTTTTATCGATACTTTTAGATTAATATTTGAAATAGAAAACTTATTTTCATGCTTTAATAATCTGCTCTAAATGACACTATGGCAATAAGTTCAAATTTCAATGAATATTGGCTTAATTTTTGTTCTTGGAGTTTTAATGGTCCCCTCTACTATTTTCCTTAAATGCATGCCAATATTCATATCATTTGTTCTACATGCACTTACGCATTTCATTTTCTACAGGCCTAAGTAAAAATAAATAAATAAAATAAAAAATAGCATTATGCTATTAACTGTTTTAGAAAATGATTTAATGCTCAGAATTTTTTTTCTTTTCTTGAGAGTAAGAATAACCTTAAAGAGTAAGAATAATTGTTTATTCTCTTTTGAAGGAATAGAAATTTGGCTTTTATTTTTATACAAACATAAAGGAGTCAAAACTAGCTCAATATTATTTTTTTCCGTTTAAATTGGTGTCCAACAGTTTTAATTAAATAACTCTTTGAATTTTTGCTTGACTTGTTTCATTGTTTACCTTTAATCTAACTGCTAACTAATGCAAAATATAATAATGTCCTCCTGTATACTCTATGCTCCATAATTTTTTTCCTATAAAACATCTAAAAATCGATTGAGCAATTTTTAAAATCAAATGCCTCAAACTGAAAATTCTTTTGGTGACTCTTTTCTATTCTATTGAATAGAAATAGAAAGTTGGCTTTTTTTTTATACAAACATAAAGGAGTCAAAACTAGCTCAATATTATTATTTTTTTCCGTTTAAATTGGTGTCCGACAGTTTTAATTAAATAACTCTTTGAATTTTTGCTTGACTTGTTTCATTGTTTACTTTTAATCTAACTGCTAAGTAATGTAAAATATAATAATGTCCTCCTGTATACTGTATGCTCCATAATTTTTTTCCTATAAAACATCTAAAAATCGATTGAGCAATTTTTAAAATCAAATGCCTCAAACTGAAAATTCTTTTGGTGACTCTTTTCTATTCTATTTTTATTTAAATTTATGGATGTTTTTTTTTCCGTAATTACTATCCCAAATTTATATTCACAATAAATAAAAATTACATCTTAAGTGATGTATAATGATACTATTGCAATATCCACCTAGGATGCCAACTACTATAGAATTTTAATTTCTATCAGGAAAAGATAAGTTTAATTTATTTTTTTCTATTGTTGAAAGGAACTTTTTTTGTTTGATGATAAATCTCAAAGCAACCTCTCCAACACCCTGTTTATCTATATTATTTATATTTAATTTATTATTTGTATTATGTAACTTATGAAACATCATTTAAATAGATTTTAAATTTCAATATCATTATTTAAGTACTATTCTGTTTGCTTCTTAATATCAAAGCAACCTTTGAGATGCCATGTTTATCTCGATAAACTTAATGCTTATTTTAAAAAAATTAACTTTATGCCGAATCATTTATGTTATTTATTTTGCATTTAAATATCTTCCATGTCGTGAAATATTATTCTGTTCAGTAATTAATTTCCAAGCAACCTTTTTGATACTTAGTTTCTCTTAACTGAAGCTTATTTTATCAATTTGTAATGAAATATTTCACTTATAATGTTATCATTTAAATGATTACTTGTGCATTTCAATTGCACATTGAAAAAGTATTATTCTATTTGGATATTATTTTAAAACAACTTTCACAATAATCTGTTTATCTCAAATAGTTAAAGCTTATTTTATCAGTTGGAAAAATATATCTTGTGAAATTTCATTTAAATGTTAAAATTTGCATTTCTGTATTTGCAATGAAAAAGTAATAACTCCATTTAGTTATTAATTTCAAAACAACTTTTTAGAAAATCTGTCAATGTCATTAAAATTGGAACTTATTACAATTTGGAAGAAATGTAAATTCACAAGGCTCCCACGGGTCGGAGAAAACCTGGAATTGTCAGGGAATTTTATTTTGACTCTTAAAAGCATGGAGTAGTGAGGGAAAATTGAATTTTTTTACAGAAACCTGGAAAATTCCTACGTCATACTTGGAAAATAACCCGTCTTAGAATTGTCAGTAGCCGTAATCAGTTATTGAGATTAGATTTAAATTATTTATAATTTACAACAAATAATTTTACAATTATTTGTTATAAAACTTCCACATTTTAATGAATGTTTCCATCCTCATTCAACGATATTTTCTTTGCTCACATAATATAATATTTGATATTATTAATAAAAAATTACATGGTATGAGTAAGATATGATCTGGATTTACATTGTAGTTTCCTACAATACCTTCTTGAAAAGTCGGAGACTTTTTTTTTATTCTGAAATTAACTGGGAACTATTATTCATAGAAAATTATATTTAGAATTATTTATTTTGCATTTCAATGTAACTGCAAAAAATTATCTTGGCTATTACAGAAAAATATTTCCGTGAGTGTTGAAAAACGTCATTAGAAGTTGACATCCCTGTATCCATAATTAATAAAAAAGAAGAAAAAAAATCATTAATACCATGATTGATTTTGTTTCTTGTCAAAAAATATTACTATAAATGTTTCTGTCATTTAAATGTTATAGCTGTTAACAATATCATATAAAAAAGCAATCTTTCTATGTTTCTAAAAGCACATTAAATTACCTCTTCCCATCTCACCGTTTGCAAAATACTGGGAATAAAGAGTTGTATATCTAAACCTTTTTTCTTGTGGCAGTGCTAACTACTGGAAGGTTTCTTTATTTTTGAGTTTTTCAACATTGAAGAGTAACATGTATAGTTAGATATAATACACTTCATGCAAATGGATTTATGAGTGAATTAATTAAAAAATATATTGACACGTGTACCCTTCTGTTGCTGAAATTGGATGCCATAGCAATTATCAAGCACTCTATTAACTTTCAATTTAAAAAATACTGCGTTCTCTCTTTACCAGAAAAATTACATCTCTACAAAAATGGATAGATATATATTTATTGTGATTGGTTTCCTTTTTATTAAAAAAAAATCCTCTTGGTATTTTAAAATATGTTACACTGGTTGGTAAAGTTAAAGAGCAATGTTTAGCAAGAACTGATAGCTTGGGCAAACTGAAATTTTTATTATTTTGCATGACTAACACCATCTTTTTCTACATTGTTCAATCAATGGAATTATATTTTTTTATAATTAAAATATAATATTTCAATTTTAACTCAGATTGAATCAATCTTATTTGGTTTGGTCTTATAGTTGTATTTCTTCTAACCTGAATGAGATGTTTTATACATTGTCTAAAGATTACTTCATTAATTAATTGAAGATCTTTATGCAATATAATGATAAGCCATATTTTCAAATTGTTCAGAAATAGGGTATTTTTTTGAAAAATATTACAACTTCTATGTAGTCCACAGGTCCCTAGACATCATATTCTTTGAAAGTATTTTTATTCCTGTTTTCAAATGTCTCCTTTTGAATATTTGCAACCAATTTTTCTTCTTACTGTCAAGAATTTAATTTTTTTCTTCTTATATCTTATCTAAAATATCAAAACTTTTCTGTCATATGTGTAGATTTTAAACATATTTTTAAAAAAAATAAGGTTTGAATAAAAATTTCACAGATCTATTGCTTCTTGGGAGATTCTTATTTTCAAATTTTCCAAAAGAAAAAAGAAAGAACTTATTTTAAAATGCAAAGAATGTTTTTTTCCCCTTAATAACTACAGGGAAATATTCTGATCAAAGATAATTGATAAAATATTAAGGACTCAATTTAGAAGATAAATGGTAAAATTTCAATTTAAAAGGAGTGTTCTCCTGAAATATTAACTTTACAAAACTATTTTTAACCATGTGTAATTTTATTTATTCCTACTTGGATTGTATGAGGCATCATTTCTGCTAAAACATTTGTCTATTTTTACCAACCTGTGTAATATTCATATTTTTTTTTTTTTATCAAATAATGGTGTGTTAAAATAATATATGTCAAATTTTTAAGCTCAAACTAACCATAAATTAAAACACCTGTTAAGCACGTTTCCAGATTATCGTCAATAGTCCTCACTCTCCCAATCTCTCGTGTATGTGGGGGTGGGTCTTTCATGTGTTGGAATGTTTGAAGTGTTACTGTCCTCCCATACATCACCATTGTGATAATTATATGGAACAGGATATAAAGTTTTCTCTGCATTCTTCTGAATGAGTTGCTGATCATTCAAGCACCTGAATCTCTCCTCCAAGTCGGCTAACCTCTGCATTGTCATTTGCAATTCTCTGAGCATTTGATTCGAGGAGTCCTCCATCTCTAATTGTTTGTTCTCACTTAATTCCAAACACTCCTTTAGTTCCAGATTTTCCATCTGGATCTCATACAGTGATTGTTTTATACCACTAAGCTGTTCCTCTAACTGCAAAGCATTTTCAGCTGACAGTTTGAGCTGTTGTTCCTTGTCATTCAATAGCACCTCGAACCTGAGCAGTCTGTCTTCATTTTCTTTCAGCTTGTCCATCAGAGGGTTTGCATACACTTCTTGATTCTCATAAACGTGGTCTTCCGGTGTTTCGTTACCAGCTACATTGTTACTAAACGTTGATTTGAAACTGTAACTTTGGCTGGGGCTTTCCCCAGTGCTTGTTTCCATCTTTTTACACAAGTCGTCAATGCAGTGGTCAATGTCTTCCAAATAGCCGTACACTGTTCTGTTCAATTCATGCTTGTTCATGATCTCGCTGCAGTGTCTGTCTTTCAACTGTGCATGAAGATCTTTGATCATGTCCTGACAAGACATAAGGGTAGCGTGGTAACCAACTAACTGGGAATGAATGTCTGGATCTTCGTAAGTTTTACGCAGAGCCACAGCATCTATGTCTTCTGTATATGGAGGGGATGGATTTCTTTTGTTTGAATGTCGCCTTGAATGTCTCACTGGATGTTTTGTTGGTGTTTGTTTAACAACTAGCCCATTTTCTAGAATTGGCTTCTTTTGACCTATAAATAAAAGTAATATAATTAGCTAGTACTGATAGTTAAGTTTAGATACTTTTAACTGTTTACCTGGGAATTTTCCAATTGCAATAATTACAAACTTTTAAGGGGATAAGGCATCAAATTCAAAATTTTTTTTTAAATTTTAAAGGCAAATTTTTTAAAAATGTTAATGTCTTTTATTTCCATAATAAATTTATTGTTACAGAATGACTTAAAGAAAATTTGTTTATGCTTGTGGTTCTTGTGATTAATACTATTGTTTCCATGATAAATTTGTTGTTATTGAATGACTTGAAGAAAGTTCGTTTATGCTTTTTTAAGCACCATGCCTAAGAAATGATAACAACAAACAATACCCCTGTTAGAAACATTTTCTGATTCAGATTTGGAGAAAGTAGATTTTTGATGCAGAGAGCATGTTTGTAGAATATTGTTACTCTTGGTAATATTAGAGCAGATGAAGTGAAAAACTAAATTCCAGAGCCAAGTTCGTGTAAAAAAACTAATAAGCGCAATAATTAAGTCGAATACAAAGGGAAAATTTAATGAGCCAATAGAATTGGACAAAGCTGGAAACAATTTTGCAAAAAATGTCTTGATTGAGTGAATTGAGCTATTCGTGACACATTTCATAAACTATTCCAGGGGAATACGTAGAATATCTCGTCATAGTATGCTTTATTAAAGTTAAAACCTCTAAATCGTATTTTGTTCTGAACAAAGATGTAGTGATAGTGAGTACCATCAGTAAAAAAACTCTCCAAAAAAAGGAACATTGTTAAAAACATGCTTAAAGCATTTTTTCTCTCTATTTTTTTTGCTTTTAAATACTTTTTAGAAGTTAATTGAGTAAATTTGATGTTATTTTGTTTATTTAGTTATCAAATGGTTAATTTTATCAGAGATTCTTTTTGTTATAAACCGTCACAAACTTACATAATATTTAGAGGTCTATCAGACTATCTGTTTAAAAGTTATGCTATGTATATAATTCATTTCTCTGCTTCTTGTTCTTAACTTTTAATAAGGTAACTGAAGGTAATTTAAAATAGTATAAATTACATAGTAGTATTATATATTAAAATAGTTCTTATGAATTCATTTTCTGTCTACAATTTTTTCTCAAGCTATTAAACTGATCAGCGCTGCGAATAGTTTATTTGGCGAAAGTTAATTATTTCATTTCTGGTTTTAATTCATGTATCTTCATGCAGTATTAACATAAATGTCACTTGATTACGTTTTAAAGCATTAAAAAAAAAATCTTAGAAGCATTTTCATATCAAACTTGTTTGCTTTTCTACAAAACGTATCAAAAATTTCATTTAAATATTTGAAACTATCAAACAAACGTTTCCTTCCAAGATTACATCTCAGAAATATTTGATACCATGCGCAAGTTGTATTTTTTGTTTTTAGAATGTCAAAAGTATAAATGGAATGTTTTTGTGTTGCATGGAACGAGATATTCATCTTTCACTTGATTTTAATGAAATCCCTTATAAGTTAATTTATTAGAGTATTTAAAATAAAGTTCTACTCACAAGAAATATTCCTTTGGAAGACATCAATGAGCTGACGATTAAAATGAATGGATTTCTCTAATTTTTTCTGCATCAGGAAATTCAATCGAATATACTCAGAGAGATCGTAAAGAATTGATTCTGAGTTTTCAACCTAAGGAAAACAAAATAATAGAATTATTTTCTATCTTCTAATTCATAAGTCCCTGTCATAAGTTAAAAGATATATTTATAAGAAATGAAACAAGTGTTTCTAATGTCTACTAATAATATCTGTATCCATTCTGTATCTTCTAATAATATCCATTCTGTACCTAATTTCAAGCAAGTTTTCTTACTCAAGGAGTTGTTTGATATTATATGCTTTGTAAAAGTGTATTCATTAAAAATTACACTCCTTTTTGAACTCTTCTAATACCATTAAGTTATACTAGTTATATATTATACTAATCCATGATCCGTCTACCACTGAGGATATTTCACGTCAACACTGTGGTTAGTGCCAGCCATCTCTGGGATTCGAACCTGGTTCACCTCAATGGAAGGCGAACGTTCTATCCCCTGAGCCATTGCGACTCATGCTAGTTATATAGGTCAATCAGAGTAAAATTTAGGCGCATGTTACCTACAAACATTAACAAAGTCTGCCCTAATAAAGAGAATTAATATGGATCCCTGCCAAAAGGTTTACATAGCTGCAAACTCTACTAGATTTTCCAGTAGACTACTGGATTTTGCCAATTTCTCCTAGTTTACTGGTTTGGTTAAAAAAAAAAAAAAAAAAAAAAAAAAACCCTATTGAAATAGCATTTTTGCACAGATTATTGCTTACTTGAATATTTAAATACGTATAGATAATCAAGCGAGCATTATGGAAACAATTTAAAACTTTTTTTGTTCTATAAGGTTCAGTCTGCTTTATTCAGAACTCTTTCTTAAATTAGTTAAAATGTCTTTTAACTATCTTTGATGAATTAAATGTCTATTACTAATTAAAATTATGAGTAAAAATAGTACATATCATTTCAAGTTCATTTAATGTCGATCATAACTGGAAAATATTGCAGTTTTTCTATTTGATGACCATAAAAATCCCTAAAATTCCCTATTTGTAAAAAGTGTTGTACATTATGCAATAATTATCACGAAATTTATATTATTTCATTAAATATACTGGATTTTTTACTATCCATGCTGGTAGCTATGGATTTATTCTTTAAAAAATTTATAAGAAAGTTATGAATACATTTGTTCTAATTAACAGATATTCACATACTAAATGCCAATCTTAATAATTGAAGGTTTGACTTCAAATATGCTAATAAATCAAAATGTCAACTTTCTGAATAAACATGCTTTTCTTGGATTGTTTCGAAAAAATTTAGTCTGCAGGGCAGTTGAAGTTTGGACCCCTTAATGTTAAGTTCACTTTTTTACCAAAGAGAATTAAAGATTTTTTGCACACTGTTATAAAACTACATCTAAAGGTAATTCCGTGCAAAAAATAAATGGTTGAAAAAGTTTAATTTTAAAATATAAAAATTTTTTACGTCATTTTAAATTGTGTAATTTTGAATGGCAAAATATACAAAATTTGACGAAATTGATAAAGTAGTTTCTGAATTAATTTTTTTTTAAAAATATATTTTTAAATTTTTGTTCCTCAAGGATAATTAAACAAATTTTTGCTCAAATTTCATATTTTGTCATTTAAAATTACATAGATGAAAAATTGTAGTGATGTAAAAGTCTACAAATTTTGAGGTTACAAAATTTAAAGGTAAAATATGTGTATTTTTGACGTAAAACTAATGTTTTACGTCAAAAAACTAATGCTGGATGAGTATGATGTGTATACAAAATATTGGCTTTTCAAGTGTTCATTTCCTTAGCAAATTTTAACTTTAGATTTGATTTTACGACTGCAAAATAAATAGTTCTTACCTTTTCTTCAGATGAAAGAATAACATTCATTTGGTTCCTTACATCGCAGAGGTTATTTATTTCGTCTGTTAACTGAAAATTAGCTTCTTCAAACATTCGCAGATAATTTTTTAACTTCTCCAGCCAACGTTTCACCTTGTTCGCTGAAAGAAAAAACAGAAAATGAGTACTAAACACATAGCGTTCAGTTTATGGGATCAACTCCCTTGAACTTAAAATAAATCGAAAAATAAAATACCGATGTACAGTGTTCAAAACAAAAAACAGACCACCAGAATTGAAGAAATTTTTTATCTACTGATCGGATTTTCACGTTTTAGGACTCAATCTAAATGGTCTGCCGGGGTGGCGTCCATATGCGGCCGGGATAACCTGGTTGGTAGGGCGTTTAGCCCATGTCTAAGAGGTTGTGAGTTCGGTCCCCAGCGGCGGAAGACTTCCCGTGTAGTAAATGATTACTGGTGCACGTTAAAGAAGTCGGCTAGAGCCGTGGTGGCTCAGGGGTTAGAGCGTTTGCCTTTCAATGAGGTGAACCTGGTTCAAATCCCAGCGATATCTAGCAGTTACCAATTCCGCTCCGATCACAGTGCTGACATAATGGATTAGAGTCCCCTAGCCGTCAGGCTAACCGTGGGAGGTTTTCCTATCCATGTAACGCAGATACGGGTTAGTTCCATCGAAAAATCCTCCACGAAGGCAACTTTCTCCCGATACTTGATCCAGGAGTTTCCTTGTCTTCTTGATTAGGTTCACAGTTGCAAGGCTACGGAGTTGAGCATTAGTGTTCATAAACCCAAAATGCAAAGACTGTTATGCAAAAAAAAAAAAAAAAAAAAAGCAGTCTCGTCACAAAGTCCTCCATGTTCCCATAGAAATACTTCTTGGAGTACTGAATTGGATATTTATCCTTCTCTTGTTCAAGTCAAAATTACGATTTGTGGATGTATGAATAGGTTCACCCTATAAACGGGCTATGACGTGTGTGTGGCTGACGTCGTATTCTTGGCCATAGATGGAGTTACTGAAAAACATGAAACGCACCACCTGCCTTAAATTCGCTTGGTTTCACCGATCAGGCTTGCTGGCAAGTAGCATAAGAAACAACAGCAACCTCCAAATATGACTTAGTTAGTGCAGACGATATTTTAAGTTGGGAAATCAGATACAAAAACGTACTTTCTATGAATAAATATATCTTTTTTCCAACGGATTCAGATTTTTTACCCCCAAAATATAGGGTGTATAGCCGCAGTCTGGGAAACATGGTCTCCATAGTTTGAACTCCTTAATGTTAATTTTATATTTTGCATATTTCGCCATATCTCGAGAACTTTTTAAGCGAATTGTAAAATTTTAGCACACATTTATAAAATTCGTTTATCCAAATATAATTCCATGCAAAAAAAATAATAATAACTTTTAATTCATATTTATTTATTTTTTTAAAAATAGTTGAAAATATTTTGAATTGTAAAATATACAATTTTGTACATTATTTTAAAGAAGATAATTTTTTTGATGAAAATTTTTGCCTTTTTATTGAAAATTTTTGCACACTATAAAATTCGTTTATCCAAATATAATTCCATGCAAAAAATAGCTTTTAATAAATATTTATTAGTATTTTATTTAAAAAATATTTGGAATTATAAAGTATACAATTTGTACATCATTTTAAAAAATGTAATTCTTTTTGGCGAAATTTGAGCGAAATCGGTTTTTAAAGCAGCCGTAGTTTTAAAATCCACTTCGTTCAAATTTTGTATTTTTCCAAATAAAATTACATTTTTAAAATGATGTAAAAAATTGTATACCTTACAATTCAAAATATTTTCTACAATTATAAAATGATAAATATTTGCTTGCATAAAATAATGGATAAACTAATTTTATAACTGTATACAAAAGTTTTTCGAGATATGACGAAACACGCAAAAAATAAAACTAACATTAAGGTGTCCAAACTTTTGACCTCTCTCCTGGTTAAACTATGGGGACCATACTTCCATGCTGCTACCCACTATATTTTGTGGGTTAGAAATCCGAATCCGTCGAAAAAAGTATGTTTATTCAGAGAAAGTACTTTTTTTTGTATCTGATTTCGTAACTTAAAATATCGTTTGCTTTAATTAATTAGCATTAAGGTCACCTCCCGTAGCAATAAGTTCTAGAACGTGAAGATTAGATCGAAAGTTTTTCAGGGTGGTCCGTTTATTTTTTGACGCACTGTACATTACTTTAATTTATAATCTAAATAAACCCTGACTTTTTTCGATCAAAGGTTTGCTTAACTTATGTAAAAATACAGTTATTAAAATATGCCACCTTCATTTTTATGAATAACTGATCTTTTTAAATTTTTTCTAGCATTCATTTTTCAATAAATATATTTTTATGTAAATAAATTCATATTTAAAAACTGTATTAATTATTTTAGTTTTATAGAGTTTTAAGCATGTGCTCTTGTGGGTTAAAAATTAATTAATCGTGATAATAATGTTCTTTTAAATATATTTACCAGTCTTTTTTGTTGCTACATGTATTACACGATGCCTACTTCTCCTAGAATCACATCTGCTTTGAGGACAAACAACCTTTCGCTTGTGTTGTTCATCAGAAACGTAAGTTGTCGAATAATCTGAAGACAAACTTGTCTCTTCAATACCAAAACCCATTCTTTGTCTGGACAATGTTGTATCTGGCTCTGACCAAATGTCCGAATCAGATGAAAGAAAAATTCCTCCTTTCATTTCGATATTTCCAACAGGTATAAGGTCCATCATATCGATGGAACGGACACATCGGTTGTTGACCATCCCACTACTTTCGTCTGATGCACCCCTCTCAGATTGCTCATAGGACATGAGGACAGAATCGCTGAAACTTCCGAAACTGACTGACCGTTCTATGACGTTGCTGGAGTTTTCTCTGGTGTTGATGCTGCCATCAGAACCGTAGTTTTCAGTGATCTTCAGCCCTCTGGGAAAAGGCGGTGACACTACGGATGGTCTTGATCTTTTTTTCAGTTTTGTGGCTTCGCTGGACGTGTTGTTGCCTTGGGTCACTTCGCGGTCGTTCAACAGTAAGATTATTTCATCGCTGTCAGAACTGGCTCCTTGGATCGATACCTAAAAGTGAGATGAGAATTAATTTTATAAAAGAAACTAAGATCGTTACCGAAAAGTTATAAAAATGTTTTTAAGATAACGAGGAATATGTCATTTAATTTTATGTTTTAACTTTATAAAGAAAAATGATTTTAATAATTTAAAAATTCTGCGAGGAATATAGAGCTACTTAAAAAAGTATCTGATAATTGCATAGTAGGTAAAAAGAACAAGTAAACATGTTCAAACTAAGAACTGTTTAGGTTAGTAAACAAGTACATAATAAACTGAATCACAAGAAATAAATGCAGGAAAATTCAATGAGAATGCAAGCGTGGTGGAACTTTCGATTAAAAAAAAAATGGTGAAGAAGTAGAGTAAGAAATGAAAATACAACAACAAAAAGATTGAAACACATCAACAGACGCTGAGAAGTATTAAATGATTATAACGGAAGAAAATTCAATGCTTAGAGCTCCGAGAATGTTTTGAATCAGGATTTTGTTCATATCTTGCATGTTTTTAAATTTAAGAGTACATTTAGTTTGACTGCATGCCCTAGGATGCCTAAAAAGAGAACTCTCTTTTAGATAAGAAGGTGGCCCAGGTTTGAAACTCGATGGTACTGCTCTTAGCTTGCATCGACTATAGTGTTGGCGTAAAATGTGTTAAAATACTTTTCCCTGACTAACATTGGAAGTTTTGTGGTTTTCTTCTCCGTTTACTGCAAATGTGGGTTACTTTTACTCAACAATCTTTGAACAAGGAATACACAATCCAATGCTTGATTAACCCCTTAACGATCGGTTGATTTTCAAGAAAACGGTTATAAAAGTGCCTATTTTTTAACCCTGAAAATTATACACGTATTTGATTAGCGCTGACATCTAGTTTAAAATAAACTAACTATCTACGATTACCTTAAAAATATCCTGGTANGGAATGACATTTTGACTTGCAAAATAGCAATTAATTGAAGTTTCTATGTATCTAATTTCAAATAAAAAAAAAATTCTCATGTACGATCTCGTATATCATTATTATTGACATAATGCGCTTCATAAACTAAAAAAGCAGGATTTTCTATCTTTTTTACTTTTAATTTTACGAACTTTTTATTTGCGTGACGGAATGACATTTTGGCAACCAAGCTTTTGGCATGCCGCTTAGAACTCTTAGTTTCTGCGAATTTTGCAGCTATTATTTCTCTGAACTATTTTATACTTTTAGTATAATGTGTAAGCAATGTAAAATGTGAATTTGGAAAAATAACCTCAGGTTGGCTAGCAGTTATTAACATCTATTTGCTGTGACGGAATGACCGTGACGGAATGACAAAAAGTTTAGTAGAAGAAAGCCTTCATTTAAAAAATGTTTTATTAATATGTAAATGATAAACAGAATGTAACAGATAAACAGGATTAATATTTATGTAAGAATTAGTAAAAATTTCAACATTTTGAAAATTAGGTTGTCTCTGAAGAGGTTTTATATCTAACTAGCCAATGCCACATCTTATCTTCGTCCTCAGGAAATTTATGCATTATTAAGACATGTGACGGAATGACGTAAAAGAAGTTACTTTTATTTTATATATTAAACTTAAAATGTTTAAATTTTGTTTCATATGCATATTTTTATCAAAATATTGCAAAAGAAAGATACATTTCTTTTATTTTAAAAGTATTTTTCAAGAAAACAATATGAGCATAAATGTGAACAATTCACTTGTCAGCCATGTGATTACTTTAGAATGCTGCCAGATTCAAAAAATTTAAAATTATCAAAAATGAAACGGCAATATNTCTGGGCAAAAGAAATGAATTAGATTTATTCTTATTGGCGGATTACTACTGAACACTCCAGCCCGGGAATATCACGGGAGCAAGAAATAGGCAGCGAAACCTCACCCCGTCATTTTCACGGGAGCAAGAAGGAAGGGGTTAAAGAGGTCCCTTGTTTTCTGGGTTGTGTCATAAGACTACGGATTTGAACATTCATAGCTTATAAGAATCGCTTATTTAAAGCTGAGCTTGAAATGCTCAAGAAATTTGATAAATATCCTATTTATTTTTGTTGTATGTCCTTCAAACTGTTATGTTTCTACGATTTTTAATCAACAGCTTGAAGAGAACACTAGTTTTTTTTAATTTAGTGAAAACTTTTTACGCGATTTTCTAAATGTGGGTTTGGCTGATGGGGCATGGACAAAAATCTTACACCATATCTTCTCTTACAAATTACACACCAAAAGTTGCAAGTTTAGTTTACTATTTTTCCTTATTATTCCATAAGTGAATTCTTAAAGTTTAAGCACATTCATTCTTTTCATTAATTTTATTGTTTGATTGAAAAAACTTGTGCCTGATATGAATATCCACCAATGAAAATTACGTGAAAGGGGAGGGATTAAAGAGAAGTAAATTTGCACAAACTTTTTCCACATGAGCAAACAATTACCATGAAGAAGTAACAGACACTGCAAGAGCTAAAGGAAAGTTTTCCCTAATATTCGCTCCTGATTGTTATCTATTCTCTTTGCAAAAATAAATAAAAAATAATACAGGAGAAGTCAACAACTTCCTTGAAACGTTCCATTTAAATTCAATTATTAAAAAAAGATATTTAAAAACTTATGAAGACACCGTTTTTGAAGTTTATAAAAATTATTATTTTAAAAACTGTCTTTGATTTCGTTTAAAATTAAGCATGATTCATAACTCAAATTGTCTTAAAGAGAGAGGGAAAAAAACAAGCAATAAAATGCAGACTTACGGAGATTGGAACCATATCCGATGTTTCTCTAATTTGTCCACCGATATTTGTTGTTGAAAGAGAGAAATGATTGCTTTCCTTCAAGTTTTCGGCTGACAAAGATTTATTATTCACGTAATACTCTCTGCATTCGGAATCATAGTAGTTCATATTTTCGTAACTACCAGGACGATCGGACATTTTATAATTATGTGAAGAATTGATATTGGAGTTGTCTTGACACCTGAAATACAATTTGAATTTGCGATTAAAACATGTTCTAGTGCTTCATTGATTGATAAAATACATCGTTTTTCAAATGCTTTCTCTAATTTATAACGAATGTACCAAAAATCATGCTACAAACTTTTAAATAAAAGCACTTCATAAAGGATTGAGAATTGCAAAGCAACTGAAGACCAAAAATATCATTGATTGACTCTTGAAACTGCTCTATATCCCATCACTGTTATGCCATTGTTCACCGACCAGAACTGCGCGGGTTCTACGTGGATGGAAAAAATTCTCAAAACGATCGTGAATCACATGCCTGAAAAATTTACTATGGACCTCGTGGCGACATTCGCCTGCAATACTGCTATAGTAAAATAATTAATGACCAAAATCATAGCATCACGTGGTTCAAAATTCGAGTATCTGTTTAAAGATCTACATATCTAGTACATTACATATCTAGTACACTATTTTCTTGTGACTTATCAGACCTTTTACCTCTTCAACCACTTATCGTTACCTTTCTGGTCATGAATTGCTATGCAATTCACTGTGTCACGGCTATTATTTTTGTGACACCCTATAAATGATATTTTAGATAGTTCTATTGATTTATTTGAAAATCTATTACAAATACAAAAAGCTTTGCGAAGATATTTTTGTTTACAAATTAAGAACTTTTTTTTCTTTTCAAAAATCATCTTTTTTTTGTTGTAATTTCTGGAAGCTATACAGTGTTTAAAATAATGTTTTAAATTGAAATTTGAAGTTTTTGCAGCTGCAACAAACAAAGCGCAGAGTTAATCAGTTATTTTTCTAATCGGCNATATCTAGTACACTATTTTCTTATGACTTATCAGATCTTTTACCTCTTCAACCACTTATCGTTACCTTTCTGGTCATGAATTGCTATGCAATCCACTGTGTCACGGCCATTATTTTTGTGACACCCTATAAATGATATTTTAGATAGTTCTATTGATTTATTTGAAAATCTATTACAAATACAAAAAGCTTTGCGAAGATATTTTTGTTTACAAATTAAGAACTTTTTTTTCTTTTCAAAAATCATCTTTTTTTTGTTGTAATTTCTGGAAGCTATACAGTGTTTAAAATAATGTTTTAAATTGAAATTTGAAGTTTTTGCAGCTGCAACAAACAAAGCGCAGAGTTAATCAGTTATTTTTCTAATCGGCAATTTAAATACTTACTCCTCATCATCTTCAAGAGTAGTCTGTCTTGAGAATTCCATATCGAGTTGGCTATTAGATGATATTCCGTCTGGTGCTACTCGCTCTTTAGCTAAAATTATTAAATTTCACCTTTAATAAAATGTTAGTACACAAATAATTTTACTTGATTAAATGTAAAAGTTATATAGAGCTTCATCTCCAAGATTGTTTATTCAAAGATCGTAAACATTTATTATTCTAGGGACTACTGATTCGATTTGTATTCATTCCAACACACTCAAACGAAATAGAATTTGAATAACGTAAAGACATCATGAATAAAGCACAAATGTTGTGCCGCTGTCCTTTAATATTGTTGTTTTTGCTTTATTCATATGCAGCTCAAAGTACTACAACCTATCCTCATTTGTTAAATAGTATATTTGTTTTTAGAATGGAATTTCAATGAAGGGCGAACCACGTTTTACCACAGCTGAAAAGAAATATTCAATATAAAAAAAAATACTTGTTATATGAATTTTTTGAGCTTAATTACGTTCTTTGTAAATAATAGAAATTATTCTAGCTAAAATAAACTGTTTAATTTTGTATTGTTTAACATCAGTTACTTAATAACCCTGCACCGATGACAAATAAATATTGCTGTCTGTTGCAAATGACTGTGGGGAATCAGAAAAGACTACATCTTTCTTCCCAACTAATATTCTTATATAATTCTTATCTTTTATCTACTGAAATAATTACATAGCTAAATGTTAAAGAAATAAAAGTAAATAAAAAGTAAAATTATTCTTGCTTAAATAAACTGTTTAATTTTGTATTGTTTAATATCAGTTACTTAATAATTCTGCAACGATGACAAATAAATATTGCTGTTTGTTGCAAATAACTGTGGGGAATAAGAGAAGACTACATCTTTCATCCCGACCATATATGGCAACGTTACTTTTAAAGAGTAACGAGTAAAAGTACAAGTATTTTTAAAAAAAGTGACGAGTAAAAAGTAAAAAGTTCTTATTTTAAAAAGTAACGAGTAAAAAGTACAAGTAAAAGTACAAGTACTAAACAAAAAAGTAACGATTTAAAAGTACATTTCTAGGAAGTCGAAAATTCAAAGTAACCTAAAATTTTATTGAATAATATTCTTATGTNTTTCTTCCCAACTAATATTCTTATATAATTCTTATCTTTCATCTACTTAAATAATTACGTAGCTAAATGTTAAAGAGTATAAAATAAAATAAAAAGCAAAATTATTCTTGCTTAAATAAACTGTTTAATTTTGTATTGTTTAATATGAGTTACTTAATAATTCTGCAGCGATGACAAATAAATATTGCTGTTTGTTGCAAATGACTGAAGGGAATAAGAAAAGACTACATCTTTCTTCCCAACTAATATTCTTATATAATTCTTATCTTTCATCTACTTAAATAATTACGTAGCTAAATGTTAAAGAGTATAAAATAAAATAAAAAGCAAAATTATTCTTGCTTAAATAAACTGTTTAATTTTGTATTGTTTAATATCAGTTACTTTATAATTCTGCACCGATGACAAATAAATATTGCTGTTTGTTGCTAATGACTTTAGGGAATAAGAAAAGACTACATCTTTCTTCCCAACTAATATTCTTATATAATTCTCATCTTTTATCTACTGAAATAGGAATTACATAGCTAAATGTTAAAGAGTATAAAAGAAAATAAAAAGTAAAATTATTCTTGCTCAAATAAACTGTTTAATTTTGTATTGTTTAACATCAATTACTTAATAATTCTGCGCAGATGACAAATAAATATTGCTGTTTGTTGCAAATGACTGTCGGGAATAAGAAAAGACTACATATTTCTTCCCAATTAATATTCTTATTTAATGATTTTCTTTTATCGACTTAAATAATTACATAATAAATGTTAAAGAATATAAAGGAAGAGAAAAAGTAAAATTATAACTAATAATAATCCTTTCTTGTTTAATATGCGTTGATACTTTAATTCAATTTTATTTATGTGAGTTTTCAACTTTCGATGACAGCAACATAAATATTTAAATTTCTGTATTAAAACTATCTCAGACAATCAATCATAGTTCTGACATCTTTTGCCTATCAATTTTAAAATATTTTCTTGATATGTTTATTAATTATAGTACTGCCGGTGGACAAATCTAATCATAAATTCTATTTCAGATTTATACATTTTTAAGTGTTATCTTTAATATGCTGTACTTAATTCAATTAAAATTCACTTAATTCAACTATTTTCTTTTTAATTTAACGTTATTGCGTTAACGGAGAAAAATAAAATTGGAAAACAGAATACCTTAAACTTCCAATATCTTTGATCTGGAATCAATATTTTTTTTCAGTTAGTTCTTTTGTCTTTTCAATTCTGAAGAAGCACTGGAGAGAATCTTAATTTATTCATTTAAGGTTTTTTCTTCTTCCTAATATTAAGCACTATTGTCTCATCCTTTCTCATTTTCGAAAAATTGAATTGAATAGAGAAAAATAAAATGTGCCCAAATCAGATTAAAATACAAATCGCATGACTACTAAGAAAAAGAGAGAAAAAAATGACAAATATAATAGACATAGTATATTTTTTAAAAATGTATTATTTATTTATTTTTTGTTATTTTTATTTTATAATTAAATTCATACTGCTACAAATCTAGACCTCAGAAACTAATAAAAATTGTAATAGTTTTAAATACTTTAACGCTCTTTTGCAGTACACATTGCTAAATGATCTATTGAGTTTATAAACTTTGATTTTATTCGAAGCTTATTTATATAAAATTTATGAAATTTTGATCTATATCGTATCGTAATGCATATATAATAGTAACATAATAGATATCGTATATAAAATTAGTTTTAGGGTTTTCATGTATGCTCAAATCCACCCTCTTCACCCTTTACGTCCAAAAGATTTTCATTTGTTTATTTTTATAATAGTTTCTTGTTTTGTTCCTGTGTTTTTGCTTTTTAACATGTCAATTCACCTCTGCCATTTGAAATAAATAAATTTTTATAATCGAAGTTTTGTTCCAATGTTGCTGTAAGTTATGATAAAAATTTAGTGTTGGTATACTCGAATATGATTCCCTCTATTTCAAAAAAGCTTTTGCCAAAACCTTTACTAAATCGCTAATTCGTTTCTAAGATGTTTGAAATAGCAGCATGAGCATCTTGAAATGTATCATTGGATAAAATTTAGCCTCTCCATCTATCAAGACATTTGCATTGTTAAAATTGTGGCTGAACCCTTCCCTCTCTAACTTTGATGACTTTTAGTTCAAAACCATCAGGGTAAGAAAGACATGCTATTAATTTTGTATTAATTTAATGTGCCCTTCGTAACTGAACTAATAGTTCACTAATAAATTGATTTATATGTTGACCCATTAAACTACGAAGCTAATTAGATTATTTTTACGCCATTGTAATCGCAGACTTTTTTCTAATCCAACAAAGGATAGGGCACTCATCGTGCCATGTAGACTAAAGCAAAAAACAACGTGAATGAAAAATAAATGAAAATACGTAAATGGGCATACTAAAAAAGTAGGACCTATAGTAAATCCATTTATACGTTTCATTTGCACTTTATTCACGTTTTTTGCTTTAGATTTATTCTTAATTTAACAAAGGATAGGGAATTTATCGTGCTACGTAGACTAAAGCAAAAAACAACGCGAATTAAGCACAAATGAAAGTACATAAATGGACATACTAAAAACGTAGGATCTATGGTAAATCCATTTATGTACTTTCATTGGTGCTTTATTCATGTTTTTTTTTCTTTAGACTTTTCCATAATTCTTACTTTTGGATTAAGGTTGAAAAACCATCCCCTTATTCTGTGGAACCTAACTACTCAACCAACAATTATTTTGTGCGCGATGATCGTTTACTTCGAATAATTTTCAGATCCTATATAGATACCGTGTTTTTCTTGCGAAGAATCAGTTAATCGCATACGATGTGTGCTTGAATGATTCGTACAAATTGCTAGCATGCTTTGTTTTGTCTGAAGCTTTGTGTTGCTAGTTCATGAAAAAATATGTGAGTCTGTACTTACATAAAATGCTAGTGGGAGTTTTCAGGTGTTTTCCATAATGCTTGATAAGTGACAGAGCAGGAAGATTTTTGGGTGAGATATCTATGTGAAGAAGTTGGTCCAGAAAATCGGTCACTTCCTTCAGCTGTTCCTGTAAAATACTACACACTGCTTGCGAATCATTCACCTGCTGTTGAAGCTCTGCCAACTGTTGCTTATGAATCTGCAATTAAATTTTTATAAGTAAATTCTCATGCACAATAATATTGAACACACATTTTCTGCCATTAAATATTTTATAACCGTCGTTGAACAGCCGACCCAATTTTAAGTTTACGACTACCAGTTCATATTAAGTTGTTTTTGGATTTCTTTTCTCATGCTTTTGATTAATTAGTTTGTTTTAAACGTAGTACCTTTGGAGACTAAGCCATGATAACTCAGTGGTTAAAGGCATTGAACTGCTATTGTGTAAGACTGAGGTTCGATCCTCAGTGGCAGCCTGAAGCCCATTCCATCGATGGGCACCAGCTTGTCTGAGAAGAAAAGGCAGTTTATGCGCAATGCTGATCATATTCCTACACACACTGCTATGCTCACAAAATTTTGGAGCCCTTACCTTCATGGCCCTCTCCCTGTGGCCCACAAAGAACTGTGGCAGGAATGTTTTTACCTTCGGTACCTTGTGCTTAAGAGTCTACTTGCTTGGTACTCGTGTTGTCGTGACAACTAATTTTCTTGCTTTTTTCCGTATCGGCCTTCAGCCTGTGTCAAAGGTTAATTAATCCTTAAAATAGTTATTTGAAGAGCGTTATCTTTAATTTTAATAACAAACATTGTATTGAATGGTTATTGCTACAGCAAGCAAATAAAACCGAGAAAAACTCGAAAGTAGACCATTAAATGGGTATATTAGAGATTCAATGGCTGGATATATTGTTGCAAACGTAAAGAGCGACAGCTTCAGTGAGCTTTTTGCTACATTAAGTTTTAATAGCGTCTTGAATAGAGTGTAAATTTGCTGTAACCATTGTATGGTGACACGGTGATGTGTAAGTCAACCTATACATCACTGTATAAGTTGATACTCCTTACACTATATTATGTTTAAACTCGTCACATTTTTGTGTTTTAAAGCAGTTAAATGCTTTCAGCCATTCAATCTTATGCCGATTTTTTTAGAATTTAGTAAATTAAACAGGAACGGATGCCAGACACAGAGGCAGTTCTGGTTTATTATTTTAATCACAAGACTGTTCTTTGAACTCTCAATTCGGAATAATGTTTTTTAGATAATATTTTTATATCTGTAATGTGTTCCTATTAGTAATTCATTAATGAAGATTAAGAGGAAAAAAGGTCTGCATCCATAAAAGCTGGATCTGAGAAATACGAATTTCATGGTTTGGGAGTTTTTAGGAGGAAGCATTCGATTGAAATAGTAAAAATTAAAAAAATACACGAGTGTAGCAAGTATATATTTACATCCTAAAATTAAAAAAAAAAATTTACAATTGTTGATGGTGGAGAAAAAAAATTTGAAAACTGGGTTGGACAAGATCCGGTTTTTCATCAAAATTTACCCACCATCATTACTTCTTCACTATGCTTTTCTTTGTTCTTTTTTGTCTACGCGTGAACACAAACAGTTTTTCTCAGCACGGTTCATATTCTTTGTATAATAACTCTTGGAGTCACGCTATTGAGTTTTTAAAAATTTAGAAATCCTAAAAATGCAACAGATGGAGATGCAATCGTCATTTTTGTGAAAAATGGGCATAAACTGTTCTTCTATCTTGGTCAATTTTCATATCGGTGGAAACTCTTGTCAAATTGGTAATTTTTTAAAGTTATTATATAATTTAAAAATATTTTAAGCTGGTAATCCATTTTAAAGTCCAGGGAATTCTTTTCATTGTGGTTGTATATATAATTTTATAATTAAAGCTTTACTTACTTTAAGGCATTTACACTGTAGCTTTTTTATTTTTCCTCACAAAAATACTTTGATGAATAGCCTTAATTATTTTTTTTTTCTATGACCCAAAACTTAAATGAAATTGTTCGTTAAATAATGATAAAAAGAATCATGTAGCAGTTTAAAAAAATTGTAACAATGTGACATTTTATTTTTATAGCAATTATATTCTTTAAATTCTAATTTCGCGGATATAGGCCTGAAAGGTAGGTACTTTATTTACATTGCACTAGAGCTGCACAATTTTTGGAGATAGTCTGTGAAACGTAGCTGGGGATGATCCGAAGACATACCATTATAATTTTGATCCTCCGTAGAGGATCTCATTCGTGAGACTACTTCCTCAATTTAGACATAAATCTGAAGGGGAAGGAAATTTTCTCTTGATCCCTGTACCCATGGTTCTGCTCAGCAATCGACTACAGAACTTTTGATTCCACAGATTTTACAAGCACATACATCTACCTCATGTACTCGGTGAATCTTAGCGGAGACGAGGATCGAACCACGGCCCTTGCACTCCGAAGTTCGACTCTCTAACCACTGGGTTATCACGGCCCTATTGGTCTGGTAAATTTAAAATATTTACGATACCTGTTGATTTGCAACAGTTCCATGTTTTCCTTTATTTTCATGCCTCATGTTTGAAATGAGTATTTTTTCAAACACATCCTCTTCTGACAGAACTTTTCTTCCCGTATACTGTATAAAAAATAAAAATAAAAGATGCAGCAAAAAACACATTTTAGACCCCACTCTTACATAGTAAAAAAGTAAATAAACTTTCCGCTGAACACTGGCAATGTTGTATTAAATTTAGGTAAATGTTATGCAAAAGAGTTTATCCGGAGTTTTACCATTTGCATAATATTTAATGTATAGTAAGATCTTTGTTGCCGCAAGGTGAAGAAATAATTTTCTGGAAAAAATATGGTTACGAAACAGTAAGTAGCTTTTTAACTTTGGAATCATTTTTTATGTCATATTATCTACTTGAATAAGTATATTAAATTTTTTAGATGGGTTGAAAAAATATATATTTGCATTTTATTTGATGTTTGTGCAGTAAATAAATTGAATAATCCTGTTCTTTGCATACAGCCAGTGTCACCTTGCAATGCGCCATGTTAATCGGAAGTTCTTTATTTTCTAATCAGCTTTACACTTTTTAGACTCAGTGCAGTGAGCCCACATATCTAGGCTAATTAGAAAATATATCATTCATTATCTTGATTTATTTCTGGCAATTTGCAATAAGCCCAAAGTAGTGAAGACTTAAATATCTTTATTAAATGTTCATAGCAGTGAGTCGAAGCAAATTTAGTCTGATTAAGTACTTTTTTCACAAATTTTCAATTAGCCTGAAGATGAACAGACTGAATGTAATAAATCCAAAAAATACCAATCAAATTAGAAAACACTGGAAACTTTTTCAATAATCATGACTCATTGCAAAGTGCCGGAGCCGAATTTTTCAGTTAGCTTCTGATGCATGCCTATGTGTGTAAAACCTGCATAGTGAACGTCTATTATTTAATACACAAAAGTACGGTAAGCGAATGCATTTACTTACAAAATAAAATTTCCACTTAGAGAAGATGAAGATCCTAAGTGACATTTTAGAGAATTTTCAGTTTAATAGCATTTAAGTTCATAAGATGACAACTGGGTACTTGTAACTCGAGAAAAAGAATACGTGATTAGGCTTAACTATGGGATTTAAATCACATTGTTGGGTCTAATCTTGTGGTTGTGCCTAGCGTGTTGAGGTTACAGTTTTAAGGCTTGGGTTCATTACCACGCTGAATCAATTTTCAGATCAGATTTAATTGGATACCTGTAAGTGACGACACGCGTGTGTGTCCAACCTGATTAGCTTTTTTTGCAGATTGGCTTTGATTGGCACGATTTACTCATGATGAAGTCGCATGCTGGTATCCTATTGGATATCAAGATTATAACTTGTATTTATTTCCTGGCCACTAGCTTTCTAAATATTGATGTTTGTAAATCCCTAATATTCATGTTTGCACTCTTGGTGTCTTGGCTAAAGATTACTCATCAAACATTTGTTGCTAAATGTACACGGAATCTTATTTCAACTCACTCAAAATAATTCCATCCCGTGAGATCTCTGAAATTCAATGATTTGACAAAATAAATCTATGTTTTATAGTAAAATAGGACAAGAATTATGCCTTTCTCAGTTTTCTTTTTCAACTCTTAACATAATTACCACTTAACTTACGTAATAGTTATAGCATTTAAGCAAAATTAACTTTTTTTTTACCTCTCGTCTAGATCTATATAGATGTTTCAACTTCTCCGTCACATCTTGGTCACTTAAGAAAATCAAATACATTTCCTGAATCTTCTTCTGCGTGTTTTTTAACCTTTCGTCTTTTTTGTGATACTCTAATTTGGTCGCCTCCATTTCCTCCACTGCTTTGGTCAGTTTATCCACCAGTGAGTTAATCTCCTCCGACATCTTGTTTAGGCTGCATTTTTCCTGGTTTAGCTCGATTTTGAGGGATTCACTCTCCATTTGACTCCTGAAAAAGAACATTTCAATTACAGTTAAGTCTTTTATGAAATATCAGCTTCATTTTTAAAGCAATATAATAAATTACTGTATAGCTTATAAAAGTTTTTTTTAAATGTACAATGCGCCCACCCCCCTAAAAAAATGGACCACCCTGAATAACTTTTGATCAATGTTCGGATTTTTATTTTCTGGGACTCAATGTTAATGGCTCGAGAGGATGACTTCAAATATGCTAATTAATAAGTTAATTTTAAGTTATAAAACCAGACACAAAAATGTATTTTCTCTGAATAAACGTATCTTTTCTTCGACAGATTCGGATTTTTAACCCCAAAATATATAACTAATTCCGTGGGGTCCACTGTTGTTGCATTTAATAGGTAAAATTTTTAACTTTAGTTACTAAGTACATAGTTCGGATTACAAAAATCTATGAATTGAAAAAGCTTTTTTTATTTTTTTTAAAATATTAATTAGTTTTTATCTTTTCAACAATATTTTCCTTCGCAAAATTGAACTGAAATAATTTGTGTGGTGTTTTGCTTCAAATGTGAAAATACATGATAATTTTGATAATAAGTAATTGCAACAGAATAAAGTAACAATTTATGCAGATTATTTTTCCAAAAAAATGAAGTTGGAATTAGCTTACAAACTCCATATTTTATATACTTCAACTTTACTTCGTTCATACAAGCCAAAATACAATTATATAAATACAAGGATAAATCACGTATCAACCTTATTCATACCTAAATAGTGAAGAAATGTGATAACAATGTACACCGAAGAGCCATTACATTATGACCACCTTGCTAATGACATGTAGGACCACCTTTAGCCCTCAAAACTGCTAGCACCCGCCGTGGTATTGATTCCACAATGTTCTGATAGATAGTCTGAGGTATCTGGTACCAAGCGCTCACCAACTGGTCCTGCAATTCCCTAACATTGTGAGGGGGTAGCGTGGCAGCACGAATTTGGTTTTCCAAGTAGGACCATAAATGCTCTATTGGATTAAGGTCAGGTGAATTTGGGGGCCAAGACATGACTTGAAAGTCACTGGAATGTTCCTCGAACCAATCCATGACGATTCGACCCTTATGACATGGTGCATTATCCTGTTGGTAAACACCATCCCCCGCAGAAAAAACTGTTGCCATGAATGGGTGATCTATGTTCACGTAGCTTACAGACGTCAGGGATTTTTCTATGAGGATTATGGGTCCTAATGTGCCCCATGAAAACGTTGTTCCTGGGCGAGAAACCATGAAAACCTGGGTGAGCCCATTGTTATAGATGGAGGGTGGTCATAATGTAGTGGCTCTTCGGTGTATATTTGAATACCAAAGTTAACAATAACGAAACAAAGATCTGAGGACGTGCCGTTAGAAGCAGCGGCGCAGTTTTAAGGGACAATACCCCCTCCGGTATCAAACATTATTTGATTAATGAACTAACTACTCTACGGTAAGTAGGATGTAGATATAAAAAAGTTTTCATTATTCCTTTTTCGTCATTTAAATGTTTAGAATAGCCGACCAGCCTGTGTAGGGGTCAGGACACTGGCCTTGCAATAGAAAGGTTCTGGGTTCGAGTCCCGGGCAAGGCTGGTTGTTCTTTCATTCGCGGTACTATCTGTCCTCACTGTGGGAGCAACGTTGGTGCACCTAATATGGTGCCCATAAAAGAGTGGCCAACAAATCTACACTTCAGATGCCTGTATGACGTAAGTCATTCTCCAGTTGGGCATTGGAAAAAAAAAGGATCACAAAATTAGTTTTTTTTCTGCTTTTTAGTTATGTATGAGCTTATTTTATTTTATTTTGTAACCGTAGTTCAACAGCAGACCCAATTTTTGGGTTTACGACTGCTAATGTTCAACTACGGAGCCTTGAAATTTTGAACANTTCAGATAGGAGGGTATCTAATCAATCTATTAACATAAGATATTGATTGCTGGCTCTATCTATTTTGGTTATAAATCACTAAATAAAAGTAGTCAGGAAAATGACAGATTTTTATGGGACAAGCAAATTATTGACAGAAAATATTATTTTAAACGAAGTTTTAGTAAACAATACCCTCTGCGTATATTCTAGAAATGCTTACATAGGATAAGATAAAAAAAATTAGATTTTGAAAAATAAATGGGAAGTTTGAAGTTAGTTATTATTGGAAATATTGTTTGGGACATGCCAGGAAAATGACATTTTGATATTCAATTAAATTTTTTAAGTATACAAAACAGTCAATGCTAGTGCAAAGTCATTTTAAAATGCTAACAGCAATGCTATTTATTATTATTTTTTTTTAAAGTTCTTTTAGTATTATAGTATTGGATCTTGGAGCAAGAGACAGTGAATTATCTTGTTTCGTGAGAGTCACCCTTATTTAACAAGAAATAACAGCTCGCACTAGCTGATACTTTAAAAATAAAATAATGCGATCTGTCTCCAATTGCCATAATCATTCTAAAGTGTAAATTATCCTACTTAATTTTTCAATTAGATAATACAAAAATAATTTCGATAATTCAATTTTCTTAAGAAATCCCCATAACATAATTAAATGCATAATGCATTAGGATGTTAACAGACTAATAACTAAAATGATTAATGCAATTATTCAATACACTTAACGAATAATTAAAACAATCTATTCAAACCAACCAAACACACTAAATTCAAATTGTGTTTCTTAACTTCAGGTAATTATTGTACTTTCAACTTTCTTCCATTTTTAATAAATAATCCTTTTCATCATCTCCTTTTATATTCACTTCTGTCAGCAATTTCTAAACTGCGGCATAAAAATAAAAAAAAAATCTTTGGGAATTGAAAGTGAAATTACCATGATTTTGCTGATTTTAATAAGCGTCGTTTCCACTTAATGAAATAAGTATGCTATATCGGCTTATTCGCTGAGAAATAAGCTTGTAAAAAGAATGAAAATTTCCCTCTTCGCAAGATTTTATTAATTAAAGTTAATTGAATGATCAAAAAGGAGAATAATTTATTGCATTCGTTTATTGTGTGAAGGTAAATGTACTTAGAACAAAAGAATCAAGTTTTTTTTCCCTTCTTCAGCCATATTGATTTTAGAGATAAAACTATTTGTCAGAACGATTCTTAGAATTCTTTTAAACTTACCGAAAAAATACTAATTAATTAGAAAATGAATTAATATGAAATGCTATTTAACATAAAATGATTTTTCGACCTAACTTAATGACTTGATATTAATTTATTAGAAAAATGAATTAAATATACTTATGTTTGTATTATTTTTGAAATCGAATTCCGATTCGCTTTAAACGCCAATTCATTGCATGGGTAGTTTTAACAGTTTGACTCAGCCCAGGAGGTGAAGAGAATTTCAGGATCAAGCATTGAGCCAACATTTTGTATTATTTTTGAAATCGAATTCAGATTTGCTTTAAACGCCAATTCATCGTATGGGTAGTTCTAACAGTTTGACTCAGAGTATTTAAACTCAGCCAAGAAGGTGAAGATAATTTCAGGATCAAGCATTGAGCCAGCACCTTGTATTATTTTTGAAATCGAATTCAGATTTGCTTTAAACGCCAATTCATCGTATGGGTAGTTCTAACAGTTTGACTCAGCGTATTTGAACTCAGCCCAGGAGGTGAAGAGAATTTCCCAATAGACATGCTCCCAATAGGTGTTGAATTTTTTTTTAAATGAAAGTAACACACATTTGAGTTACACAAAGAAGGAAACTACGAAAGCTTGCTAGAGCAAGGGGATTTTAATGCATGATGTATCGTATAACGAGGAACATTTTACGTCAGTACTGTGATTGGTGCGAGATGTGAAGCAGTGTACAAATCGACTAGTCCTGGTTGGGATTTGAACCTGGGTTGACTCAATGAGAGCGTAAACGGCATTCCGGATTAAGCGTGATACTAACTAAACCAAAAGGTATCTCAGAATTATGAGTATAAATTTTAAATGGCTAAAATAGAGCACCTCTTGATGAGGTTAACTAGGTTCGAATTTCAGTGATGTCTGGTTGATATGAATTATGCACCAGGCCCGCACCCACCAACTACACTGCTGACGTAAAAAATTCTCTGTGGTAGATATATCAAGGATAGATTACTCTTGCCGTCGGGCTAACCAAGGGAGATTTTCGTGGTTTTCCTCTCCATGTAACGCAAATGCGGGCTTCAAAAAGCATGAAAAGCTCTCTAGTCAAAGCATCAAAAAGTTCTCAATGGAGGCTAGTTTGTCCCAATGATCTAGTAGTTTCCTTATCTTCTGGATTGCGATCAAAATTACTAGCCTACGAAGTGAAACATTTATATTTGTAAATTCAAAATTGGGTCGGCTGTTCAACGCCGGTTATAAGTGGCAGAAATAAGAACGGGATGAAGTCATTCTTATTATAGCATTCCTTTAAAAATTATGCACTCCTACTACAGCCTGTTGTCAGTCAGGTCGTAAGAGTTGAGGTTTCACAACTTCAAAAGCAATGACATAAAGGTCGGAAATGTGGTTAGTATTGCACACCTGCCACCACTAAACAAGCTGGCGTCCATAGATCTGAAGCAGGGCTGGCTTCAAAACATCTGGAGTAAAACTCCAGTCCTTCACGAAGACAGTGCAGAGCATTAAATTTTGTGCGTGGCTAGGGTACACCAATGGTTTGAGAATGTCCTCCATGTTCGCATAACAAATCAATACCTCTGGGGGTACTGATCCAAGAGTTTCCTTGTCTGCTGGATTGGTTCAAAATTGCAAGGCTACGGCTGTGAACATTAGTAGTCGTAAACCGAAAAATTGGGTCGGCTGTTCAACAGCGGTCATAAAATAAAATTGAAAAAATGGTTTGAGAATTGAACACCAGCCCTCAGGATCCGGGGTTCGATCCTCGACTCGGCTAAGACTCACCGGATATATGCGATATACGTGCTCATAAAATATGTTGAATCGAAAGTACTGTGGTCCGTCACTGACAGTATCATGGGTACATGGATAAAGAGAAAATTTCCTTCCCTTTCAGATTCATGTCTGAATTGAGGAAGTGACCTCAAATATGAGCAGTGTTGCCATCTATCCGTGTGGATCGGAGCTAAGACGTACTTTCACCCTAACGTGCTTTATTGTCAAACGAAAGGCGAGCTTTTCTATCTTAATTCGAAAGAGCACGGCGTGTCCAAGTGTCAATAGAAACAACACTGTGCTATCGTGACCTTAAGCTCTTATATAAACCCTTAAATAACTTTAATATTATTTAAACTGTTTACAAAATAGTTGAGCTTAAAATCATTCATTTTTCTTTTTTTTTATATATAAAACAAATTGAAGTTATTAGCACATTCTTTGGACTAAAAAATATCCGTCCGCTATTTGAACATTATCATCAAAATAATATTCCCTATTGCAATACTTAGCACAAATAATTTGTTAGCAAAGTTTTAAAAGTTTCTTCTGCAATGTTTTAATTAAAAAATACCTTCGCGATTAAGGAGAACAATTTTAATAACGTATAATTTTTTCATTTCTAGCGTAATTTCAAATTTAGTTTTGTAACCTTATCTTCAAAAATCGACTTTGCTTTTTATCCGGATATTTTCATTAAGTTTAAGTTGGAGTCAATATTTTACTTGAATTCGTAAGAGTCTGTACTTTTCTGTATGTAAATTTCTTGAAGGTACTTTCATTTTCTTTAAACGTCGCAAACTAATTTAAATGCGATTCAAGTAAATTGGATCTTTGTCTCGATAGGGCCTTTCATTACTAAAAGTTTTTTTTTTCCATTTCTTGTTCGCTCGTTAATTGAATTTGAGAATTCCTGTTTAGAATATTGTAAAGGTTTGGATAGTGAAGAAAGAAGAAGGCTTTTCTGCTGAGTATTAGTATACCTTAATATAAGATCTTACTTTAATATAATTGTTTTAATATTTTCTAAGGGTTTTTTTAAATCGAATTATAAATCTTTAAAAATTTTAATAAAGTAAATGTGTCGATGTAATTTAATTATATTTCATAAAATTCGAAGCACATAGATAATTTAATTTTAAAAGCAGATTTCCTTGACAATTGTGTTTTGTAAAAAGGGACAATGCAACTTTACTTTAATCACCATTGTTTATTAGTAAATTAAAAAAAAATAGCTTAAAGTGAATTTAATCATGTCATTTTTATTTAATTTTTTGTTTTAAAAAATATTAAATAAAAGGAAATAGACGGCGATTAATTAAATTGACGGTTATTTGTATTAAATTTCGTTGTATATAAAAAAGGCATTATTTGATTGTTGGCTTACTCTACTTTTGTTTATTTTGAAATAGAGAATCCTCAAGTTTAATGAGTGTATTGTTTTTTTCTGAAAAGAAAGATTTTTGGTGCCTTCGGTTTCGCACCAAAAATAAGTTAAATGACTTTTTAGAAATATTATTAATTATGTTATTTAAAATAAGATAAATGACTTTTTATGAATATGAAAGTGAAGCTAATACCATTTTTGAATTTGGTCCACTATTTCAATATAGCATTTGTGTATATATAGAAGTATTAAGTAGTTAAACACCCCTAATTGTGTTAGGAAATTTTGAAAATGAGTTTTTGGAAAATTTTTGGTAGGCCGAGGGAAAGTAAATTTAATCTTTCTTTTAATTAATTTTTTTTACTTTTTTGGCTGACGTATAATTTGTTTTGTGTTAAAAAATAATAAAAAGGTAGGAAAAAATAAAGCTGAATCTCGATATAACAATTACGGCACATTACGATAAGTCCACCATTACGACAAGTTTCTAAGTTGCTGTAAAGACACACAAATTATGCAGCTTCGATCGATCAAAAAGACTGGAGCACCCCGGACCAAGTCCGAATGCTGAAGCATTATCTCCTACATTAGAAAGCGGTCAGACGGTTTTTCATTAAGTAGTCTGCGAAGACTATTTAAAAAGTGAACCAGTTGTGCGTATTAATCTAAATTCCGTTTTAAAAGTAATTGAGAGAAATTTATCATATATATTTGTGAATTGAATCTGTAGTGATTGACAAGTAAATAAGACAAACCAATCATATTCAAAAATTAAACAAATTTTCAGACATATATTAGCTACCACTCCCTTATTTTTACTAGATTTTTTATTAAATGATTCTTTTGAAAACTTGTTTACCTTCATAGTGGTCTGATCGGACTACCTACAAAAAACCGTGTGGAGGCTTTTAGTTATAGGAGGCTGAAGTAACTCCCGTGCCTACTGATTTTATCAGGATGAAATGGGATTGCCTTCACGCCTAAGGTGGGTCTACCAGGAGAAAATCTTCCGACGTACTTCACCCATCTCATCTAGGAGCACCCTTCTGCCACGATGAGGAAATCAGCAGGTATTGGGAAGGTATTTGATTTTAGAACGACCACTGGCTAAGTTATATTCTTAAATATATATTAAAAGTTCTTCGGCTATTTTCAAAAACCCTACTCCCACTTCAAAATAATGCGTTTTTGTTGATCATATATCTATCATGCCCCCATCTTCCTTCTTGACTACTAAAATCATAATACACTGTTATCAACGACAGCTAAAAATATTGCACTTTATTTTTTTTTCTTCTTTTTTTTGTTGCAGAAACTTGTTCAGCCATTTCTGTCGTAAATGTTAGTGCCTGAATCTGAAGGCAAAAGCAGCTTATTTCAGATATGTATAATAATGTATATGTATAATCAAAATAGTTGTTCAAAATAAAGAAAAAAGAGGCAATTGTGTCGATTTCATTTTTTAATCTGTTTACTGCCATTCCATTATTAAATATGTGTTTGCTTATTGAGACAATAAGCTCGCTTAAACGGCAATTTCATCTACTGTTATGAATTAATGTTGTAACGTCCGGTAAATCGAAATAAATCCTGATGCAATAGTAGGAAATAACCCGGTAGCGACTCATTTAAGTCAGCATTTCAATACAACTGAAATAGTAGCTGACTTAGGATACAGCCCATCCAATTACGACCATGAAAATTTCGAAAAAGTTCTAGCAAAATTTTTGCGCTTGCTGACCGAAAGACACAAGAAAAACATTACGAAAACGGAAAAAAATTATGAATAAGTATTACCTAAAGAGTTCTTCGTGTGATTCCTCCAGATCTCGTTGTTTTGCATCTATATCTTTCTGCCTAGAATCCAAGGTGTCTCTAAGCTGTTGTAATTCGGTTTCCTTTGTGTCGAGTGCCTCCTCAAGTTGATTTTGTATCCTTTTCAGCATCACGTCTTTCTGCTGGATGATCTCTTGTAGCTCTTGTATCGTATTCTCACCTTCGATGACGACTTTGGTCTTCTCGCTCAGTAGACTCTGTGTGAAGAGATTATTAATAAAACATTTATCGTGATAAGTGTTTCTGAGTTTAATTATCTTCACGAAAAAATGTTTTTAGGTAGAATAAACAACTTAATTCTGATTGTTTTCAGGCAAAAGAGTTTAAGTTCACACAGTGGGCTATACATGGTTATTATCATATAAAGGCAGCTCCCATTAGGAGACAAAAATGATTTTTTTGAAAGTTACAGCCCTTTAATCTTATGGAATTATAGCTTATGAAAACTTCGAATCAAATAAATTGCTCAATTTCTATAAAACTTCGATTGTAGCCTAATAAAATATTATTATTTTGAAGTGTACAATTGTTCAGCAAAAGGGATAAGAATATAATGGAAATGCGTGTACTAATTTTTTGGCTTTTTAGATTGTAAAAAAATAAATACCCTTTTTATAAAATATTTTTTAATTTAAATTTTTTTAAAGGATTTTTAAACCTCGATATAAGAAGGTGAATTCATTCTCGGTTTGAGAAGGCTTTTTTACTTTTGGTTTGCGAAGGTTGATTTACAATTGACTTCAGAACGTTCTTCTAGCTTTGTTTTATGTAAAGGTATATGTAATTTCGATATAAAAGGATGTTTTTGCACTCTTAATTGTATCCTTATTGCACGGGAACTAGCATAGTTAAATTTAATTTAGTTTCAAGCTTGCATGGTTTATTTGCTAATCATTTTTAAACCTTGTTGGGATTACGTGATAAAAGCTGATGCTGAAATTTAAATCAACCTTATACTGCTATCTGGGTTGTGTAACACTGTTTTAACTTACTTTGACAGCATCCTCCGATTCTTTAAGTGAATTTTTCAGTTGAAGCATTTTACTGTTTTGATAGACTAGATCCATAAACGATCTACAGTTACTGATTAGTATTGAATATTAATGTTTTAACACAGTGGTCCCCAATACAGCGAACCGGTACCGGTCCGTGGATCAAATGATACCAGACCACCCAAAGAACATTAAATTATTTCCATTTTATACACTGTGGTATATTTTTCAGTTTGCACGGCTTTTTATGAACGAGAGGTTAACTGGGAGCTGTGAGATGTCACAGCACCAATATCGCTCATTTAATTCTATTTTGTATTGAAGACATGTTAAAATACAACTTTAAAATAAAATTACTGAATCAAAATCATCTAAAACATAAGCAATCAACGACAGCCCTCTCAGAAGATTGAGATAAAATTGTCAAAAGTTGACCGGTCCTCAGCGATGGAAGTGTTGGGAAGCACTGTTTTAACAGACAAGACCTGATTAAAAAATATTAAAATGCGATATGCTATATCGAACAGTTTCAGTCTAGTTTAACAGTATCTTCCGATTCTACTATTAAACGTTATAATTGCGATGTGACAATGTTTTTAAAAGACTAGATCTATTTATTGCAACTGATTAATATCAAATGTTAATGTTTTGGCAGGCAAGACTTGATTTTAAAAAAAAAAATTAAAATGCAATTCACTCTTTCAGCTTACTTTGACAGTATCTTCCGATTCTTTGAGTGAATGTTGCAATTGAGATATCATGTTATCTTTCTCTTGACAGACACTGCTGTGGTGTTGCGTGCTCTGAGTCAGCTGATCTTGTAAAACCTGAACACTGCGCTGGAGAATCTGTATTTTGTCTAGTCTTCTGGTACACTCCTCCTGAAGCCCCTAGAAAGATGAAACGACTAATTAAGCACCGTGAAGATAGTGCGGAAAATAGTAAACACATCAATTCGAATCGATCACCTTAATTGCTTCGTCTTTAATTTTTAGTCCATCGATCAGGGTATGAACTTCTTTCAGCATTTTATCGACAGATGCAGATGATAGGCTAGGACAATCTGTGTGGTCACTTGTTGAAGAACTCTGACAAAGAAATGGAAAATGGGACAGTTAATATATCACATCGTTCAATATATTGAACTGTTCCACTTAAATATATTTTATGTTTAATATTCATATGGACTAAGGCGAGGTCTATTGCTGATGGTTATATTTTTAAGGGTTATTTTTTTCTATAACTCAAATTTTTGCATGTTAGTTGAAAACGATGAAGAAAGAGTTGTGTTAGATAATATAAATTTTATGTTTTATGCAAGTTATGTTTATTATAATTTTATGTTTTATGCAATTTATGTTTTATAAATTTTATGTTTTATTTAAATTTTATGTTATATTATACATATTTTATATTATGATTAGCTGCGTCTTATTTTTTATATTAATTCAAATGAATAAATGTGAAAATAATGACGCATGTTTTTGCAAGTTATTTTTTCTGAAACACAGTTTTACAGCTTATTTAATTGGGCACGGTAAAAAGAAAGCGAATAAAATAATATACCAATATACGATTGATATAAAACACCAATAGTATTGTAATTTAGGCAGAAATGTCATGTTTATAAGCATATTAACTTGATATGTCATGCTCCTAATGAGAGACATGTCGTATCATGTCAAAATGTCATGCTTATAATCAGCATAATAACAATCAAACCACTAAGATATAACTGGTTATAAACTATATTTTGCTGTTCAATTCACAAAATAGTTATCTGATGCACATACTTAGGTTGATAGATATCTAAATTAAGACTTTTATACATACTTTATATTAAAACATACATCGAAACTGATCGCAATCAGCTTCAAGATTGAATAAACGTGCGTTGCTTTGATAATTTCGTATTAGTAAACTAGTCATGATATTTTGCAATCCACTACCAATTATTATTTTTAGAATTCTTATAAACATAAATATAAAAATTACACATTAGGAGTAGAGAATTATTACTCAAAAGACATAAAAAAAATACTTTAGCGAAATTTGACGAATGGATATTGATGTCAATCTCTGAGAAGATGAGATAGCAAAAATTTCTAAATCAGTTAGATGGAGAATAAAAATAATAGAGGCTCATAATAATTTTCTTTCGTCATCTTTCAGTTTCATTGGACGTTCAAACTGGTTTTGACCATTTCCAATAAGCTCTTATAACCGTCTTTCAGTTTAATCTGACAATTTTACTGGTTTTGATCCATTAATGTCTCCTTCAGTGTGGTTGATTTCAATAAGGATTCGTTAAATTTCGATAACGTTTTTATTTTTCTACACCTTAATATTCCATAGAGACCAGCGTGTAATTTCTTTACATTATTTTTAAAAGGATATTAAAAATAAATATTAACGATGGCTATAAGTGAGAACAACCATAAAAATTTAGTTTTATTATTTCGATTTTAAGTTTCTGCAATTATTGTAAGAATCTCTATTATGATTCACAAACGCTCAATCGACGATTATTAACAATTATAAGCACAATCGACTATAAAGTAGGCTAAGTGGATTTAATTTCGTTTCCAATTTATCACATGAGCTTCAGCGTAATATAACAAAACGTAATTTAATTATTGCTATAATGATTTAAATAATATAACAATTTAAAGTTATTAAATTATATTACAACGTAATATAATTTAAAAACTCACTGAAAGAGTTATGTTTAATTATTTTTTACGCACATTAAAACGAATTTAATTATGTATGTACGCTTGGCTAAATTCTTCAGTAATTTTTAAAATTTAGTATGATATTCTGATTTAGTGTCATTTCGTATTTGTCTAACTATATCTTTTGGTAAATAAACATATAAACAAGTTTGGAACGACCGTCTTTAGTAAATGATTTGAAACTAATAGTTCCCATTAGTTGAAAGTTTGAATTAACTATTTTAGACTTTAGGAATAGTTTACATAAAGATTCGTAGTTTCTTAAAGATCGACAAGATATAAGATTCAGTGGTATACTTTGAATTTTACTTGATATGATGCATAAAAAGATATTTTATAGCAACTGTTAATCGATTTTGTATCTGGTGATTTATGTTCACTGCATCGATTTTTGACCAATGGAAAAAAGATTATTTTTAAATGTCATTCTAACACCTAAACAAATATAAATTCTTTGTAAATGTTATAATTTGAAATAAAAATAGGAGTAATTTTTTATATTAATTAAACTGGCAAAATAGCGGGTTCAAGAAAATTTTGAGGTAAAGAGCGTTGGTAAAAGAATTACTAAAACTATAGAGAACTTTTTGAAACTTTGACTTTTTGATTTTACGCTTTTGTTAGTTTCGCTACGGTTCACAATTTTAATATTAAACTTTTCATTATTTAAATAAAATAAGCATATAAAAGAAATTTTTTAATAATTATCGTTTAACTTCACTTATCAGTTCAGATAACCCAAGCGTTCTCTTATAAATTAAAACAGCGTTTTGGAACTAATAAAATATCACCGCTACTACACTGAGAAAAAAAGTATGGTCAAAACTATCAGAATATGGTCAAATTTACCGTGTTTCTGGCCTTATGATAGACCAAAATGCTTGGTAATTTTTCTCTGTCTAATGCTAACCATAATAAACTAGGCCCAACTTCTTTCGAAGGGAAACATTTTTTGTGTGAATCATTGCTTTTGTGTTGTCAACAACAGTTACTTATGTAGTTACAATAACTGACAATCCATATAATTATACGCTAGCAATCAAAAGTGCAGTACCATAGGCATAGACTATTTTATTTCTATATTCCAGATACTAAAGTAATTAAAATCTTACTATCTAAATCTTAGTAATATAATTAAATCCGTGTAAATTCAAGTTATTTTCCGGGATTATTTTGTAGGCGAAAATTACTAAGCGTGCTCCATAACATGGGGGGGGGGAAGAACAGATCCCTTTACTTTTTTCCGCGTAATTATTGCACACACATTTTTATGGAAACTGATATTTTTTAAACAATGTTTCTACCTAAGAAAGTATAAAATAAGCTCACAATAAAATTAATAAGATACCTATGATTTATATTTTTTTCCTTATTCAACCAAATTTCGCCACAAGCAGCTAATAATTAACTAAAGCTCCTGAAACCGACCTTTTAATTATACACTGCTACTTCATTAAGCGACGTCCCAAACCTACATCGTGATATTTTTATCACATCAACAATTCCATTGATATTGAGTATTCCCAGAAGTATTGAAGTAATAAATTAGATCCTGCTCAATACTCCATAAATACTGAGACTTAAGCAAAGAATAAGAATGATGATGGCACAGAAGCTGAAGTGCAATTAATTTTTGCTAGATTCTCATCAATTCCGCTGTTCCTTGTATAATATGTAACGAAACATGTTTTCGCGTTCAAATAGCAAATAGATGGATGGACAAGGATCAGTTTACTTAGAATAATATCAGATGAGAATATGGATGATATTATTCTTAAGATTTGGATGACATTATTCACCAATCTAGGGGTTTGGCGAAAAGAAAGGAAGGCCATTTTATTCATACAAGCAGGAAGTTCGCTGCCTTAATTCTTTTTAAAACTAAGATGGGGACAATTTAAGGATAATTTGAGTTTACTAACGGCTTCTTCACAAAATATTTTATCCTGAAAACGGGCCCTTCACAAATTATTTTGTATTAAAAACGGGTATTTTATAAGTAATAAGTAATTTTATCTTAAAAAAAGGAATCTTAATAAAATATTTTATCTCAGAAATGAAGTCTATGCAATATTTTAGTTTTAGAAACGAGCACTTCACCAAAGTGGAACTTTAAAAAATAAGTCGATGACGTCGCTAATTCACAATGTATCTTAAGAATAGGCCTTTCACAAATTATTTTTTCCTATGAATGATCCTTTTGCAAATTCCTCTATCCTTAAAACCGTCATTTCACAAATTATTTTATCATAAAAACTGAATCTGAGTAAAATAATTTATCTTAGAAATGGACCCTGCACAACATTTTTGCTTTAAAAATTGACACTTCACCAAAATCTGACTTTAAAAAAGGAGTCGATGATATCATTATCTCATAATTTATTCTAAAAATGGCCCCTTCACGAATTATTTTATTCTAAAAACGGGTCTTTTGCAAATTTTTTTATCCTAAAAACAGGACCTCTACAAGTTATTTTATCCTAAAAACGAGCATTTTACAAATTATTTTATCATAAAAGCTGAGTTTTAATAAAATATTTTGTCTTAGAATGGGCCATGCAAAATTTTTTTGTTTTAAAAATAGATCCTTCACAAAAATCTACCTTTAAAAAAGGAATCGATGACATCCTTAATTCATAATTTTAAAAGTTGATTCCGAGTGAACAATGTTTGTTTTTTTCGCATAATCATGATTTTTTTCCACACGCTTAACAAACCAACGCAATAAAAGTCAACCCAATATACTTTCTGAAATTTTTAAGGAGAGGTTACTATAACATAGCATTTAATTATGATTTTTCTTAGAAAAAGCTTAATTGTTGCATACAATGTTGAAAAAAAGTTCTTATTGTCAAACGCATTAAAATTTTCAAGTAAATTAAAAATTATTTAGAATTGCAGCAATTGGAATTGAGCTAATTTTGATTCGAGAACCGATTAATTCGTTATTTGTTGGTTTTGGAAGGAATTCAATCTGATTTATTTGGTGATTGAGTGGTATTTCTTCAAAAAGTTATAAGTAAATAAAAAAAGCACTAAGAGTAAAAAAATTAAAGCATTAATTTTTTAAATGTTATTGAACAAATAAAAAATTTTAAAAATGAAGAATATGGGAAGATTTGTTTTTGTCTTTTTTAATCGAAATGGTTCAAGGAGATTAAAAAATAGATAAGGATTCAAAACAAATAAATAAAATTAAAAAAAAAAGGTTATCAAGCTGATCTAGAAACTAAAGATACTTTATTCAAAACCAAAGCCTTCTGATTTTTTACTAAAAGTTTTAAATTGAAGCTATTGAGACAGTTCTTCCATATTTTATAATATTAATTAAAGTATGCTAAAATTAACATTTT